TATACACGTTACACATAGCATATCAGGAGGAATGTTATCAGTGTATCACATTTTTCATTTCTGCCAAATTGTTTAGATTATCACCATAAACAGTGCTTTTGAGATAACCTCATAGACAAAAGTCACAGAGGTTGAGGTCTGGTGGGAAGTGGGAAGAGGGGAAGTGTTGGCCTATAAGACGTTCATTCGTGAAATGTTGCCTAAGTAACTATGCGACACTCTTGAGGTGGTGCCCAGCCCTGCATAAAAATCGTAGTATCTAAAATGCCACGTTACTGCAGTTCATGTATCACGAAAACATTTTAATATTGGCTCTAAGTGAAGCTGCAATCGCAGTGGTCCAGCTGTCGACTGCTCTTCAGAAAAAAAAATGGTTCAGTTATAAAACTAGCTGTCATTCAACAGTAAACGGTGTGAAATGACTGTTATGCAATCGAATGCAGTAGTAGGAGAATGCAATGGAACTAGATAGATAACATGAGAGATTTCTTTGACCCAAATCGATTAAAAGCATTTTGAATCAGTATCTTCATGTTTTAGTGTTAGTGCCGAATTCAGGCTTAAAAAATTACAAATTAGCGATCTGTAAGAAAACGATTTCCAGATTGTACGCACTTGTGAGAGTGATTTGCGATCTCACATTTTCTAATCGCTAATTCGTGGTTTTCACGGACGAAATTCTCACTTACAGGGATGGCGCACTCGACATTTATCGAATTTAACGTCTTTAAATAATAATTTGCCTACTTCAAAGTTTCTTAAGGGTATACAACATATTAAACCCGTTTAACAAAAGGTTAAGTTAGATTCCGACCCATATTTCGTTTAACAATATTGCATACAGCGCCATTTCCCCCCCTGGTGGTGAGGTTTCGAACTTCCTTTTTTTCGCGGAAAATAAATTCCCATGACCTCCTTTACACGATTTCCAAGTTTGATAACATTTGATCCAGTAGTTTTCCTTTTATGACCGTTTCAATGTGGAACTTTAATTATAACCACTCTGTATATTATTAAATTTTAATTTGAAGCTATGCGTTATATGTATACCATGCGTAAAATTTTCGCTTTTATGGAAAAATAAAAAATCGAAGCAAATATACTTAGTATAATGGACCAAAACTGAAAACATTTCCCCTCCCTCCGAAAATAAAATATTGAAATTTCGAACTTGAATTTACTGGGTTATCGAAATATTTAATTTGACTTATCTTCTAAGTCCTAGTTCCGACAACAATTCCGTCAAAAATTCCGAATTACTTAAGCTAAAGTTAAAGATTTAGTATATATTCACTGTATGTTAATAAAGTAATCAGAGTGTAATAAAAATAGATTATAGAATTTACGCTGATGTAACTTTTTGTCTGACTGCACAACATGTAATGGAAGAGAAGGTTTGTAGAGATCTGTTTTTGACATGCCTCTAAAAGTAGATGTCATATTAATTTTGTCTCTTCAATGTCAAAAAACTTTCCTTTGAGAGGCAACTTTAGTTTTTGAGAAAAGAAAAAAAATCACAAGAAGACAAATTTGAAGAACATGCAGGACGATTGAATATACATACTTATTTTCCGAACACAAGCGGTTCTCCGACTGGTTATTGAATAATGAAAAGATGCATTGTCATGCAATACAAAACATTTGGAATACGTTTTCTGGCTGAATAACGTAAGATTAAAAGTCATCTGCTTAATTCACATCCATTTACAAGTCAACTACTCGGGCAATTGCAGAATCGTTTTGATCCTGAGCTTGTAAGACAAACCTAATATCACTGGATTTAAACACTTCTTTAATCTTCCGAGAACGTTCCTTCTTTAGCTCATATTCCAAGAATATTAAGTGAATACAATTATTGCCAAAGAAATTGAATATTCATTTGCACTACGGCTTGGTAGTTTACTAACGAGTTAACAAAACTTAAATTCTGCTTTTTGTGTCAAAGAATACAACAATATTTTAAATATTTACAAATAAAATATTAAATTGGAGATTTAATGGGAGCCTCATCAGTTGCCTATCATTTGAAAAAGAAAATATTGTTAAATACTAATTGTTTGCTGCTCAGTCTAACCCAGGCTGCATGGTTGGTTTTCGTAGTTTTTTAGGTTCTCTTTACAAAGATTCTCTATGAAAGCATCTTAATCAAATAGCTCCCATGTTCTTTCTATGTTCAAATAACCAACTAACCTAGTTTAAGCGCGATTTCCAAGTGAAGTTACTAGTAAAATCCGAATACTCATTAAAAATCATGTAGCTAGCCAATCGGGAGTAACATGAAAGATACGGAACCAATAATTGAAATGTTGTTACGGTACGCCTTTTCTTAACTTAGATGGTCATTTCCTTAATTAAATAGCCCACCAACAGGCCGAGCGGGTAAAGACGCTGAACACTGGTAGTTCGGTTCGAGTTTCGAATCCCGCGAACGGGCTGGCCGCATGGGCGGTTTCGTGGTTTTCCCCATGTGTAACGTGTATACGAGCCAGTTTCCCCTTAGAAAGTCCTCCACGAAGGCATCCCTCCCTTTAGGCAGATAGCCCTCGTGTGCTTTGCCATAATTAAATAATCCAATTCAATCCTTAATTAAATATAATTGATTTGTAAATTCTACTAGAACTGACGGTAAGAATTGAAGTGGAAATAAGTAATATGGTGTGCAATCTTGATTAATAAAAAATTAAAAATATTTGCATAGAAAAATGTTTGCATTCAGACAAAGTTTTTTGAAATATTTGCAATTACTTTATAAGAAGGATTTATTAATAACAGCAATAATTACTTATTATATTACTGATGATTAGGATTCAGTTCTTGACAATTACATTCTAAATTAGAATTTTAAGGATATAATGAAAATACGCTACGCACAAAAATACATTTTAGGAAAAAAAAACGAGTTTATTTTTTATGTTTTAAAACTTCTTAATTCATTTAGTAAACATCGTATCCTCGTTGTTTATTGAATCCAGAATGTTGGTGTCGTTTATATAATTATTCTTACTTGTCCACAGAATCTGCTGACTTATCCAGCCATTAAGTAGCTGCAGATCATTTCTACATAACCATTGAACTTCCATTAATTCAGTCTCTAGAGGGTTGTATGTTTATATCATAATTTGACTTTTATAAAAAGTGATTATTCTAAATATTATGTTTCTATAAAAATATATTGTGCTTTAAAAATATGGATAATAGTATCAGCCGCTCTTTCAGCCACTTCAAAAGCAACAGTTTGCTTAGAAATAAATTATGCAGTTAATGTCATAAAATTCAAATATATATCAAACGAAAATTCTCAGTTTTAGACAATTCGATTTAAACGAAGTAAAGTAGCAGACGATGAAACGCCGAAGGTAAAAATTTACTCTTACAAAAACTTACTCTTAAATTTTTTTAAAAAAAGAAAAAGATACGAGAGAAATTTTAAAAAAAAAATAGTTAAAAATTTGAATAATATCATCTATAATTTAAAAAAAATAGCCTTTCATATAGTATTAATAAATATTTATTACGCATCATTGAGGGAAAAAATGTCATATAATTAATTCTCCGTAAAATTTTACTTGAAGTTTAAGGTTAAAAATAGCTGTGGCAATTCAGTGTGTAACAAAATCCATATAGACCACATTTGGCGTTATTATCGCTCAAAAAAAAGGTGCCAAATTTCAAAACGCGAAATTATGTAAATTCGTGTATATCTTAGAAAATTTTGAGTAAAAAAGTCTAATTTTTTGCAGATATGCTTAAAATAACACCTACTTTAAGATGATGGTAAAAATTTTATAGGTTATAATTCAAAATTTTTTTCGAAAAAATCTATAGAAATTATTTAAAAATAAAATTTTAAAAATAAAACGCAAAAAATGGTAAATTTTATTTGGAATGAACCAAAATTTTCGAAATGTGAGAGAAAAAATCAAAAAAGTTTAATAAAAAAAGAGATATTAATAAATATTTGCCAAATTCAATTAACATTGAGGAGCTAAAATTTTGAGAGCTAATATTTTAAAAACTAATCGTAAAACTAATCGTACGATTTTTACAAAACTTGGTATTCTGGCATAATTTGAGTCGTAGAATCGAAATATGTAAAAAAATTGGTATGTTATTTCAGAAAAGTCCGATTTTGTGTCAAAATACCTATGTTAGAATAGTACTATATATAAATCTAATATATATCCTAAGTCGCGCTTTCGAGACATGAAAAACGTAGTTTGAATTTTGTCAATCGCCCCAGTAGAACGGGAGTTATAGCACTGTCCCATTTTTTTTTTTGAGCAGTGTACATTAACCTGTTATAAATTATTATATGCCTATAAAGGAAAAAAACCTGCAAATCAGTTTATTATGTTTCATTACATAACAGGGAATTTTTAAATTAATTTTAGCCGTATACTTATAATTTTCAAATTTTATAGCAACAAGTTTTTTATATTCCATTATTTTAAGACCTAATATTCGTAGAGTCTATAGCAATGCCTTTCTTAGCTTTCATAACTGTTGTACTACCTTTGCTGGGCAACATTTTGAATTTATTTTAATTTCAGCCCTACTTTGGGAAAACAGTGATGCAAAACGTTTCTATTGTCTAAATACGCCTTACATTTAAATAACTATGAAAAGTCTTGGGTTCTTCCTTAATAAAGTATTTGTTATTTGAAATGATTGTTAATACTGCAATCAGTTCAAATTACAAATATTTTATTAAAAGTATTTTTCAAGGTATTATTTTTTTCAAAATGAAAATATTTTAAAGGCAAGCATTGTTTTTAAATGGCTTCTATTGGTTCACCATGGAATTCTAATAATTTATGAATAATTTACGAAATAAATCTATAATCTTAACATATATCAATTACTCACTTGTTATTTCATCTGAATATGATTTTATAGTTCTTTCGTAACTTGTCTGTTGAGTGCATATAAATCTGCCCGCATACGTTATTTTAATTAATACGTATAATTTTTGTAAATAAAATCAGAGGGCACAATCTTACCGATATCAGCTTTTTTGAGGGCAGGAGAGTCGTTGACACCGTCCCCAGTGACGGCTACAATAGCTCCTTGTCTTTGGCATCCTTCCACGATGATAAGCTTTTGCTGTGGTGATGTACGAGCGAATACTATTTCTGTGTGATACTTAAGGATGTTATCCAAATAATCCGTGGCCATATCTCTCAATTCTGAACCATGTACTACGGCAGCTTTGGCGTCTCTGTATGAAATGTAAATGAAAATACACTGCATGAAGTTTCGTCAATATATATGCTACCTTTACATAATAGAAATAGTATTATATATATTAAGGAAATGTGATAAGCTTTAGTAACTTCTAAAATTATTAATGCATGTAAAAGAAATAGATTTGTTAAGAAAAGGGCACTATTTAAAATAATAAAGGTTTAGGAACTTTTACAAAGTAATCTATACAAATTTAAAAAAAAATTAGATTCAAAACGTGTTTTTATTTTAAGCTTAAAAACAAGAATTGTATTTTATTTTGTTTGAATGAAAATAAATATTTAGAAATATTTCTTTATATTGAATTTCTTTTATATGAAATCTTAAAAAATTTCAACATCTTTTAAGATGATAAAATTGTAAGGTTCCTATGTTAATTAACCAATTATTATGCTAATTAACCTTCTTGTTTTGTGTCGACGCCTTTTCTATTATTTTGGTGTTTGATATGTTCTAGACCAGTGATGGCGAAACATTTGAGCTCGTCGTGCCAAAATTTGGAAAATCCCTAGCTTAACTCTGGTGCCGTGTCACATATAGAGTCATGCGCTTGCCATCTGTGTCATCCGTCTGCCAAGAATGCCTTCGAGGTGAATACAGTGTATGTTGACAAGGATGAGACCGTTGCAAACGACAAATATTTTTGTTTTATACGGTATTCTGTCTCCTCTTCAATGGCTCTGGAAATGCGTGATGCGTGTCATCCAAAGTGGATTCGCGTGTCACATGCGTGAACCTATGATACGCATGTCATAGATACGCCATTACTGTTCTAGACAATTAACATCATTTATCGTGAGATTACATAAATTATTGAAACTGTGGGTTTGATTTGCAGGGGTGGATAAAATTATTAATTACGCAATTTTCTTGACAGTATATCATCAACGTTCATATGTTTTTAAAGGAAAAATTGTTTAAATTACAGTCCTGTAATAAATTTCCTATCATCTTTAGCTGCTTCAAAAGTTTTTAAATATTAAATATTAAAAAAATATACTGACCTTGGATTGACTTCTTCCACAGGAATATTAAGTCTTTGAGCAATATCATCTACAGTTTCGTTGCCTTCAGAAATAATACCTACGGCCTTAGCGATGGCTTTGGCAGTGATAGGATGATCGCCAGTCACCATAATTACCTATTTGAATGCAAAGTATCAGTTTTATATATATGAGTAAGGTTTCTTTTTTATATGAGAAATGCAGCAGTATTTGAAATGGAAGTATTATTTGTCACAAAAAAGGAAAAATAATCTTGCAGATTTTGGGGTTTCAGTTTTGCTTCACAGTGAAAATGTAAAGGTTCAAAGAACTGCGGTTAGAAAATTCTAAAACAAGATTGTAAATTTAATAAAATTTTGAGGTACTTTTCCGTTTTGCCGGCGCAGGCGATAAAGTCGCCAATAATCGTACAACTGATGCCAAACGGAATATCCTCGCTGGTAACCTTTTACGCCTGATTTTCAAAACAAGTAGCAGCCATTTCTTATCAGATTGATTGTTTCTTTCAATACTCGCATACAATTACACAGCAGTTTTACCAAATAATTCAATTTTATGCTCTAAGACTATTCGCGGTAATTAAGTCAATTAGGATGCAATCAAACTCTGCTCACCCGAAGGCGAAAATATAGGAAAGGCAAAGTCAAGGGCTAAACTCATCGATTCTAATGAGAATGCACTAGCGAAGTAAAAGCACTGCGGTTTTACGTAATTTCTGCGTAACGATAATTCGTACACGAATTGAAGTATATTTCTTGCATTTAAACTTGTATTCTCAAATAAACATTTAAGCTTGAAATTAATGTAGATAATTACTGAGAAAATTAGATTTTTGTAGCGTAGTTTATGTGAGATGAGATCACTTGGGATTACGTGATATGAACCGGCGAATCAGGATGTTGAACCATGAAAGCACAGTAAATTCTTAAATTAATGTCTTTTTACAAAATTTTAAACGATATTAAAATGTTTATGCCTACAAAATAAAAAAATTCTTAGAATTAACTAACATTTGTTAACGTTTTTTATGTGTATATTGTACGTTGTCGCCAATAAAGTCTGCTTGGCGAGATTTGCGCCGGTAAAACGGAAAAGTACCGTTTTTAATTGCAAGGAAATACAGATTAACCTTGTAAAGTATTTATGCCGTAATTTAAAAATAACAGATAATCTTCTTAGTAAAACATAAATTTTATTTTTAGTTACGGAGAGAGGTAATTTGAATACGATCTTTTAGTTACAAATTTTTCATGCATCTACTAGCTGGTAAAACGTTCAGAATTCTAATTTTTAACAATTTCTTGCGTTGCTGAGCAACGGTTACATCATACAAATATGGCGTTGCCACTTCAATAATAAATATAGTTATTTGTTAAAATAACAAAATATTACAACCTAAACAAAAACTAATTAAATTATTAACTGTTCCTCCTGATAATAATAATAATTTTTTTAGGTACTATTCGGTTTTGAGGGCCGTAAAAAAATTGCAGCGAAAATGTATGCGCAAAAGCGCCAAATCTGGCAAACGCGCCCATATAACAGCGCGCCAAATCTAGCGTACGCGTTGATTTCAGATTGCGTAAGTTTATATACTCTATATTTCTTAAAACGCCATTGACATACTAGTTTAATTTTTAAATCCTTTTTTGATATCCTATGGATTTAACAATTTGGGAATAGCCCATGACGAAAAGTCGGCTATAGAATTTTGGGTAAAGTGCAGAATCCCCCACTGCTTGACGCGTTTTTAAGAATTGCACATACTCGGTATCCATGTACACATCGACTTACTTTCACTTAAAAAAAAAAAAATCCTAGAATTGGAGGGGGGGAAAAAAAAATGGCACTGCGCACATCCTTGACATTATCTATGTACACTATTTTACACTTAAAAAGTAAAAGAAAATTGACAAAAGTCCAATTGTTTTTACTCTTGTAAAAAGCGGCAAACAAATAAGTGAGCGATTCTGCACTTTACGGAGAATATTTTCAAAGAAAAGGCATCATTCATTATAGAAAATTACGTTTGAACAACCAGCGAGATGAAATTATGCTTTAGCGATAAGTCGGTAGCGAAATAGCGATGCAGCCATCCATTCAGTTATGTTTAGCAATTTTTATATAAATTATAATAATGATTTGAAATAGTTATTGATTCTTATGTTTCCATTCAGTCATGTTCAGCCTTTTCATATAAATTATAATAATAAAAAAGTATTATATGAAATTAACCTTTCATCTAAATTAAAACATCAATCTTAGATAGTTATTTACTATTATACTTCCTTTCTTGCCGCAATTATTTTTGGCAGCATTGGCATCAACAATATTTTGGTGATTTTTACGGCCCTCGAAACCGAATAGTACCTTTTTTTATTTTTAATTTGAAAAAAGAAAATTAAAAATGAGCGCTAAATATAATTTTCAGTTACATTGAACTATTTTTTTGGAAAACATGTTTCTTAATCTATTTTACTATTTATAAATAATAAAATAGATTAAGGAAAAATAGTTAAATTTATAAATTCAGATATTTATAAATTTAACTATTTTTTGGAAAACATATTTCTTAATATGTACTGTTCATTGTATATTTAATTACAATGATTCCGATTGTTTAAGGAACAATTACGGAATTCACGGTAAGAGGCAAAAATAGTGCTGTCTTCAATAAATTTAAGCATTTATCCAGCAATGGAATGTTGCATCAGTATATTAAGTGAAAATTAATGTAAGATGCAGTGTTACAATATAAGATGAATGGATTTTTTTAATTGCTTGCGAGCATTCAATTCATGATGGTGCAAAAAGTGTATAGATATCATTTGAAGTTATTTTGAATGAATAGAGTTTATAATTTATTATAGCATTTTTTGTATTTTTATTTAACATTAGTTTTGTTTTCAAATTGACCCAATACATATAACATTTATCAGTTTGTTTTTAACACGCATGCACATTACAATTTCTATCCTTGAAGATTTTTAACAGTTTTGAATAACGATAAAAAGAGAGGAAATTAAAAAGTTTTCAATATTGCAACATATGATCTGATTGGTTTTATTATTGTATCCTGAAACTATTCCACGTCTTTTCATTAATGTTGCAAGAGTTACTGCTTTGCTCATTTCTTTCATATACTGTAAAGTTCCCCTAGCGCAACTTACTTTAATCCCGGCACTCCTACATTTGGCCACTGCGTCCGGCACAGCAGCTCGAGGTGGATCAATCATGGATACAAGCCCCAAGAACCTAAGTCCAGACAAAGGGAAATTTTGTTCGTCGGCATCGAAAGGATACCCGGGAGGAAATTTATCTGCCGGCAGAACGTAATCACAGAAACCTGAAAAAAATAATAATACATTGATAATTATCAGGAAATGCAATGCTTTTAATTATACACTTATTTAATTCAGATATTTGAAAATAAAATATTCGGTATTTGTTTTAATGGAAAATACGCTTTTTAAAATGCTTTGAACACTAGGAATGTAGATCGTTTTCAGAATTATAATTGTAATGACTCTCAGACCCCGTGTAAAAATTCGTGTTACTTGTAGAGTACTTTTACCACCCTAAACGAGATAACAGTTTATGTGAGTAGAAAAAATTAATTAGTAAAACAAAAATAATAAGAGAAAAAATAACTGTTTGAGTCATTTGCATTCTGAATTCTCTAAGCTTCAAGCACTCGCTAAGATGAACTTACTTCTACCTAAAAGGTCCTACATGAGTGTCTCTGCGGACAGAAGAGCATGAGTTTTCCAACGTACTTTGAAGGAAAGCATACAACGGTAAGTAATATATACTATGTTAGCGTCCTTGCATGCATCATGAGGTTTCTTTGATTTGCTTTTTAGGCTTCTGTATGCATTATGAGAATACTTACTTATGTTTCATGGTTTTAATTATTTTTCAAGTTCTGAAACGAAAATAAAAACAAGGAGTCGAAATTTGTCCAAATATGTTTATCAAAAAATTTCACAAACAGGTAGAGTCCATTTTTGTTAAGTGTTTTCAGCAGAATTTGTATTTTCTGAAAAATGCAATTCTCTGAAAGTGCATTAGTTTCTGAAAAATGCAATTCCCTGAAAAGGCATTCCCTGAAAGTGCATTCCCTCCACATTACCCACCTCCCATGAAAGTGCATTCCCTCCACATTACGCATTAGTGATTTCAAGACGCATTAGTGAATAAATCAGCTACATTCGATGTCATAAAATTTTACAGATGAACGAATTTTGCAGCATTTGTTCATAGATATAATGAGATATGTAGTTAGAAAGCTTACTGTCATGATGACCACCATTATCCGTCTTACATGAGTAAGCCACTTAAATTTTCCCCTTTTTCGCGTATGCTATCTTAAGCATAATTATTTATAAATATTAGTTAAAAAGAGAAATACAAAAGACATGTTAACAGTATCTTTAGCAGTATTGCATTCTGAGTAATTTTACTAAAACTACTTCTGAAACCCACATGTAAAGTTGCATTACGCTTGAGGCGAACTGAGTTATTTGACACCCCAAAAACAGAAGCATCACTTACCAATGACTCGTTCTCCGAGACCACCAAGCTCAAGATATGCATTATTGAAGGCCTCTTTCATTTCGTCATCCATGACTTTCTCTTCTCCATTGATATAAATTGTAGCACAGCGATCCAGAATTCTTTCTGGGGCGCCTTTCATGCATAGGAGGTAAAAGCGTTCATTGTTCTCTTCTACTTCGTGTATTGTAACCTATAAAAGAATCCAGAGTCAATATTTACATATATATGTGTTTTTGTTTGAATTTATGAAAAGTATAATAGAAGAGTTCGGAGAATGACGTCATAAGATGCACACACACAGTCATTTGTGAACGACGAAGCGCGGTAAAATACTCCACGACGGGTTTAAACATGTCTGTTTAACGAAGTTTGAACATTTCTACTTAATTACATGTCTGCTTAACCTTTAGCTGAAGAACAGGCAATAAGGATAGTAATATTTTAGCTTGCAAAGGTATAGTAGTGGTTATAAAATACAGCAGAGAATGGATTTTAAGTTCGTTTTAAAGCTTGGTAAATATGGGAAATAAACTCAAGATATTCTGAAACAAGTTTATGGAGATGTGAACATATCTTTAAACGGATTTGTGGATTCTTTAGACGTTTTCGAGACAGAGAAAATTATACTGACGTCGCTGTTCAATATGATAGGCTTATGGCTTCTCGTAGCCACAAAAATATCGAAAAAGGTGATAAATATTTATCTAGAAAGAGCAAAAGGGAATGCTAACACACATAAAGATGGTTTGGTAATTCTATTGCACAAGATCCATCATGTACGTATGTGTTATTCAAAACTATGGATGACTGTTACCGTGCGATACCAACAAAAGATTTAGTCCGCAGTTTTCCGGAAGTTAATATCGAGTTACAAACGGTGGGCATTATTTGTAAGGAATAGCCGCCCAGACGGCGAAGTGGTTAGGGAAGCCTACTGCGATACCGAAGGGCCCGAGTTCGAACCCCGGAGAAAGCATGGCTGTAATTGGCCGTCCTTTCATATGATGTAACGGTGGCCCACCTATTAGGTGCTTCCATAATAAATTGCCTACATTACCGGCCTTAGTAGTGGCCAAGCCTAAACTGGCTAAGTTCTCGCCAACCAGGGAAAAAAAATCACATTACATTCACCGAACTTTATGGTCATTCCATCTGTCTTAATAATATATAAAGGAAATCCTCAGTATTGCAAGAATGAGTGTTCCCGTAAACATTAACCTAGTTCCCACCCTAGTTCAGGGGGCGGCAAACTATGGCATTTTGGCTCCTTGAGTGTGGCTTTTCCACAACTGGCATATGCGGGCGTGCGCACGTAAAAGCAAGAAAATCTTGAAAATACAACACGAAGACCGTCAGGGTTAACACAAGCATGGAAACATGCAGCATGAAACATCCGCCAATGGTATTTTTAGGAAATTGTTTTGTACCAATTTCGGTGTTTTGATTGTGCTGATTATACATCAAATTGTGCTGTTGTACTAATCGTCATATGCCAAATTTTAACTAATGAAATGCTTTGAATTAATACACCATTCGATTTCAGTTTTACCTTTAATGAGAAAACAAATAACGTAAAAACGAAATTTAGTTTCAAAACATCAGGAATTTTAGCATCTAGACTTTTAAAATTTGAAGTCTTTTCCAGTGTCTGATTCAAAAAGTTTCCTAGCTATCGAATTTAGGCAACAAATTAAAAATGTCATTGTACTGATTATAGTAAGAATTTTGTGATATATTGATAAATGGGCCATTGTACTGATTTCAGTATAATTGCACAGACAAGAATAACACTGATATCCGCGTTCGATTGTGTCCCTGCCTCGATGCGAAGCACTTGTTTTCTATGATTATTACTCTATCCTACTGAAAAATTGCTTCTATCACCAGTATTAATTGCTTATCTTCTTGTTTCACACTTCACCACCTTCAGCTACTTGTTCGAAAATCGACTAGTTTTACTGCATCGGATTAGCGACTCAACGCGGACAACATCAACAGCGATATGCATTTCGCCTGAACCCAGATTCTCCCACCTCCGGCGGCGGTGCAGTTCATCAACGAGTTGAGTGAATGTTATTACTTTTGTGAGCCATTGAGTCAGGAGGCTTGTTGGGGAGTGTTTAATGCAAGAGGTTCCCAGTGTTTTGTTTAAAAACCACTTAAAAGGTGGGGGGATGAATTTCATGGGTGTAAACACGCATTTCTTATTTCCTTGCGTTCCCGGATAGCGTTGTTTTCTTGTCTGACTGCTGTTAGCTGGTCCTCAATCAGTTCGCTGTTTCTGGCACTATCAATTCCTTCTCGTAACATGTCTGCAAAGAAGAAGCAAAGAAAACGAAAGATGAAATATACCGTAAATTTCAAGTTGAATAGACTGAGACTTTCGCGTTTATTCGAAACTCAAATGGCCTTCCGACTTGTGTTATTTGTCAGGAAAATTTGGCTATCAGTGGATCCCAAAATTTTATTTCATGGTAGACTTTATGTCTCATCTAAATCAGCTTAATCAAAAACTGCAGGATAAAGGAAATGTAATTTTTTCGATATTAGAAGAAGTTATTTCAATTGAAAACAAATTACCTCTTTTTGCTCAAGATTTTGAAACAGGATATTTATACAACAGTTTTAAATATGAAAGAAGGTTTTCTCAGCAGGTTTGACGAATTCAAAAACAACAAAGCGACGTTAGCCCTTGTTAAAAAACCTCTTAATACTACTGTAACAGAATTAAAATTTTCTCCCTTTAATATTGACCTTGGCAAGTTTGAAATCCAATTGCTGGATTTAAAAAACAAGGAATTATGGAGCTTGAAATCCGAATGTCTTAGCGCTGATATGGAAACACTGGAGGAACATAAATGTAAGCTTACTTCACAGCACAAGTGGTCTGCTTTGAAAGACCTGGAGAAGGGAGATATGTTGATTTTTAACACACGGAATAGTATTTCTGACTCATATAATCAGCTAAAAAAACTAGCTGTTCTTTCCTTATTCGGATCTAAATATTTATCGGAGTAATCATTTTCAAGCATGAACCTTATCGAGAGTGAATTGAGAAGTCGTCTTATTGATAAGAACTTAGAATTACGGTTACAATTAAAAACAGCAACATACAAACATGAGTTACACAAACTTCTTTCCCAAGGAGATGCAAGGTCATTATTCACATAAGTGTTTGTTCATCATAAGATTTTGGACACTTTACAATTTTATTTTATCAATAAACAGCATCGTTATTAAGTGTAATATGAAGTTTTATTCGACATACCTATAGAGTTTAACTAAAAAAATTGAAGTATTAAGTTAATTTTAAGAAGTGTTGTGGAGTGAGAAAGATGTAGTGGGGAGAATTGAGGAAGGTATGTTAAGATGGTTCCGACATATAGAGAGGATGAACGAAAGAAGGTACACGAAGCGAGTGTACAGCACAAGTATGGATGGGAGAGTTGGAAGAGGGGTGACCTCAGCGAACGTACATTAATTAGATTGAGGACGTTCTTAATAAAAGCCAGAGTAACCATAAACTACAGGTAAAAGGAAACTCAAATTTTTGTCCTAATTAAGAAAATAACAATATACCTACCTATATAATTTAACTTTAAAAATGTGGCTAACTTTAAAAATGTGGATTTGAATCGTTGAACTGTCGATAACTGGTTCTGTTGACCATTGAGTTTGCCGACCATTGCCTTAGTTAAAAGGGTTAATTTTATTGCCTAATTTTTCTCATTAAAGATGAATGAATTAATTAATATGAAATAACTTGTCATTTCAATCTTTAACTTTTCATTCAACTTACTATTCTAAATAAAAGGATAAGGCAATAAATTCCTTTCATGCGGAACTCTAACTTTTCTAGTTTTTAGTTAGAGAAAGGAAAGAAAGAAGAGATCAATAAAAGTATAAGACTTAAACATTAAATATTCTTATATGATTTCTTCCAATTTAAAGAACGTATTAGCTGAAGCCTATATACTCGTATTTAAGTATGAAATATTCATTTAGTCGAAGATAAGTCTAGCTTAGTCCCTTGGTTAGATTTAACTACGCAGTTTATGATAATTCTAGAACATTCAGTTACACGTATTTAAGGAAAATATTATTTAATAGGCATATAGATTTTACGTTGAGACAGTGCAATTTCCATGAACCTAAGATGATGATACTAGAATCTCGACTTTCTAGGAACGAGTGCCTGAAAATTAATAGCAGATCTTGTGTTAGGTTAGTTGGTAACAAGTGTTCAACAATATTCTTTTAACATATTTTTACATTATTAACTCATATTCTTAGGTCGGCATGACGTGCATTGAAATAGTATATATGAAAACATTATTATTCTCTAGACGCGGTAAATTATTTGACAACTGAAATACTGCATTAATTTGAAATTTAAAGTGGTCTGTTAAAAAAATGCTCATGAAAATTTATTGAACATATCTAAGAAATGTTTTCCTTCAGTCCTCATATATATTTCTTTATTACTGGATAACCGCACCCTAACATTTTGTAAAGCTCATAGTTCCAATTAGAATTGCCTTACCTTCTGCTGCGTTAACTGATATTCTAGGCGTCAGGTTAAAATTAAGTTTTTCAAGATGAAAACTTTCGACACGAATTTTTATTGTTTAAATTTCGAAAAGAAAAGCCAAAATATAGGAAACACAGGTTTAAATTATGGGATGCATGTAGTAACATATTTTACACTTATGCTTCAAGTAGCAAATCTTTTACCACTTTAGATGTGTCCAGCACTGCCTTACAGTACAAAATTATCAGCGACATATGAAAAGTCAGACCTATTGTTGTGCATTGTTTTGCCTAAGTTCTTGGCGAACGTAATGTCAGTATTAACACTCTCTTTTATATGATGATATGCAGAGAGCATTACGTGCTTTAATTCCTATTATATCTATTGGAATTTGGTCACGTGGAAGATGAATTTTTGCACTACCGTGATTGCACTTTCAATTCAAAACCAAAATCCGTAATCTAGTGCTTAATAGACTATTTTTATGTACATTTTCATTCAGCAATATTGCTTTGTGTGTATAGAGTTCCAGCCTTGAAGTTGCAGCTATGTGTGTGGAGCCTTAAGAACTGGTAAGCGAATAATCGCCTTAGCTCAGGAAACAGAAACGTAAACTCAAGAAGGGTTAATTATCCTTTATTGCTCAAAATAAGGATTAACAGTAGGCCTTTTCTCAGGACGTACAAAAAAGATTCCACTAGGGTTTGTACTGAAGAGTACTAAGTTTGTAACTGAAGAGTACAAACTTATCTAATGCTTAACTAAAACGATATATTCGAAGCTATCAAAATTCTACAGGAGTTGGCCCCTAAATGCTAACTAAACGGCGAAGCTATCAAGGGCTTGAAACATGGCCGAGCGTAGTAATAGCTTTGAGAGAGTGTAGCCAAAACGCAAACGCGTGCTAGTCAGAATTTCTGGGTCTCTAACGAAGTCAGTGGAACTTCGACTTAAGTACCGCTCTTCCTTCATTTGCATTAACCGCGATTCTAAAAAGACACTCTGGCAGGAAATTTGTAAACTGAAATTAAAAGGGACAGAAAAGTAGCTTTAATTAAAGATAACTGTTAAAAACTTAGGATAAACCTTACTTGTGTGTGAATGATTTCAGTACCTGAAGGTTCGTTGATGTTAAACACTGACCAAACACTCGTCAGTGTAAAACAGCGCTTGCTAAGTTATGTGAAAAGCACATGCTTTAGTCTCGGGAAATAACGGAAAGAAATATATTGCGATCGCTCCATATGATTAAACACATTCATATTACTTCTTTCTTCATTGGTTTTAAAAAGACTGTTATAACTACCAATATACAATGATACATATTTTGCTCGTTCTACCTCATGGCGGCCAAAAAACCGCCGGATAGATTCTGCCATAAACGGCATGATAGTGACAGTAATGATGAAATAGACTCTGACTACTCAAACTCTTCTAGGAATAGTAATAAACTTAAATTAAAAGAGTTCATCAAGGACACTCCTAAAACTGAACTAATTTCGAAGAAAACTAAACGAATTAAAAGAGATGAAAAAACTTCCAGCTAATCATTGGACCTACAAGACGCAGGAATTATCTCAAAATACGAGAATGTAGATAATATACTGAAGCACTCTAGGTTATCTAGAAAAACAGATGATGCACTTGCAAATCCAAATTCCGATGTAAACGATGAGGAAACAAAAATGCAGAATGGTAAACCACTAAAAAGACTTTCTTGCAACTTAATAATACTGATAAAAAATAAAACTTAATAATACTGATAAAAAATAAAAAACTAAACTCAATGGCGCAAATGGGCCAAGGCCTGCAGTGCCCCGAAATCAAATCTGCTTTTCTGACGGTGAGCCCCGAGGTGCGTAAGCATATGCCCTGAACAAGTGGTAAACTTGGTCGCAGGACCCCCAGTTTTTAGTCCCCAATCGAACTTGGTACTCATTATATCGACGCAAGGGATGGAAACCAAGGGATGAAAGGCTGAGTCGACCTTACCTATCGAACAACTGATCGGATTCGAACAACTGATCTGTGGTGCTGCTGCGCAATGCGCTAGCCACTGCGTCACCAGGCCTTAAATAATATTGATAAAAACATCAAAACCACTGCAGCTAATGAGGATAACATTGAAAAAATTCCGTCGATCGTCATAACCCAAGAAGGACTCGACTGGATAGATATTCAGAAAGACTTAAAAAATTTTAAAGAACGAATTTGAAACTCAAATGAAAGCACGCAGAGTTTACCTGTACACATCCAATACTGAAGATTTCGATAACGCAAAAGAATATTTCAAAAAAGCTACTATCGAATTCCACACATTTCAGCTTTTCTCTCAATCAATTGTAAAAGTTATCCCTAAAGATTTACCCAAAAATATTCCAGAACAAGCTATCTTTAAAGATCTCAAAAACGGAAACTTTCCTGTACTAAAAGTAAAACAGTTCACCAAGAAATCCGAAGAAACCCTCATAAAATTACCGATCTACTTCATAGAACTCGAAAGAAACAAATCAGGAGAAGCAATTCACAATGTCAACAATATATCCAACTTTAATGTAACAATTGAGAAGTACTCCTCTAAAACTAAAAGACCAATTCAGTGCTATAAGTGTCAGGCCTATGGACATTCACAAATAAACTGCTGTAAAAAAGAAATATGCTGCAAATGCTTCCAAAATCACCGTTCAAATACTTGTACACTTAAACGAGAAGACAAACCCATCTGATATTTTTGCCGTGGAAATCACGTTATTTCTTATCGTGGGTGCCCTGTCTACCAAAAAATTATTTCAAGCCCCTAAAACCCAAGAAGTAAAACAACCCAATACCACAAAAGCAGATTTTTCAGCACTAAAAACGAAAACTTTAGAAGAAATTAAAGAAGCTAAAAATCCTCTATTCAATCCGAGCGACAACTCGCAGAAGATCTCTGAAAAAGAATTCGCTGACATCTTTCAAACTTTCAAAGATCCAAAAGTCTTTAACTTTATTCAAATAATGAACATCACAAATAGAATTAAACAATCTAAATCCAGCACTGAAAAACTCGTAATAGCCTTCGAAGCATTAAGGATTACTTTAAATTTCGCAGAAGAGGAAAATTAACTTGAAGATAAATTTATTAAAGAGGTTCTCAGAACTTACAACAGATGGTGACACAGTTTCCTAGGAGCTAACCCTAATTCTTTGCCCTAACTTTCATTTTCAACACTATCTCTGAAGACCAACGATAAATGGCGACTCCGCTGCAGAGCTTATCTGATGACAGAAGACAACGCTTTCAACTAAAACTCAAGGAAATGATTCTCAAGTCTTTTAACAACTAATTTCTCGTATAGTTAGCAAGCAACTAGAACTCAATAACTTTTCACTTTATTTTTTATAAAGTGAACTTCGTTTTTGTACTAAGACTTCCCCAGCAGGGATTATAATTGTGGAGTAAAGGCCTTCGGGTCGAAGACTTGACTCCACCTTAATTCACCGTTAATTTACCGTAACTGCATCCGGCCCTATGTAGCTGTGTATGCCGTCTCAGCGGCGGGGGGAAAACTGTATGAGACCCGAGAAAGCATCAATTTTAGTATAGTTTAGACCTTAGCTCAGATTATTGAGAATTTTGAGAGACCACTGTGCGAGCTTTTTCATTTGAGGTTTTTGGTAGTTTGAACTGATTGTGGTCTGTCATACTGAAAAGAGCTGTACGAATACTTTTGTGAAAAGTTCCAGAACTGTAAAGTGTTTATTTTGGGATCATCTGTTATTTGTGCATTCAATCCAATATAAAAGCGTATGCACGCAACAATATAAAATAAAAAAAATACAGAGGACAGTTACTTACGTGATATTTGTTTGTAGAATTGAAAGGAATTTCGCATACTTTGGGACATTTACTTCGGTAGGCGGCCACATTTCCAACAGCTAGCTCCATACATTTGAGGATTGCAGATTCAGAGGCATCCCCTGCACATTCCCTGTAAAAATAATTAAATCTTAGGTTAAAGGCCCATTATATGAGATCTTAAGCAAGATTTTAAATAAAATGCCTATACGTAAAAATTTAAACATTACGATTAAAGGAAAAATTTATTTTAAATTTTGAAAGATGATGCAAAAATTCCAGCTCTCAGAGTTATCTGTTATTAAAAGATTCAAATAGAATTCTTTTAATGCTAGTTAGATTTTCTTTAATTTTTTGTTTCACGCTAGTTTTTCTTTAAATTAATTAACGATTTCAAAATGCATTATAGAATTAGGAAAGTATCTCTTTCAATGTTTCGTCAGAACTATTGTACATAATGAAATTTATTGAGTTTTCGTAGAATTAAAAAGAAAAACCTTTTAAGAATTGGTATATTCTCTTGCCCAGCTTTAAAATCTGCTCGGCTGCACAGACAACACACTCTTGATAAGGCTTTCCATCCAATAGAAGTTTTGTCATATTGCATACCTGAAAGAATTAAAGTTGCAAAGCATTATGTTTATTTCTTAAACCGAAATAATGTTACTTTTTTACCAAAATTTATTTATCATTTATAAGTTTTATCTTCGCTACAAAATAAAACTGCGACACAAGAACAAATTATTGTCTAAGATGTTTCTCTAATTTTAAATAAAAATTATTACTGAATAATCTTAAAAGTTAAAATAAAAGAAGATTTTTTTTAATAAGATATGGAAAAGAGGCACTTGAAACTATTGTATACAAAACAAAGAACTCATAAATTTTGTTACTGTAAACATAGATTTAAAGACAAATCAGTAGTATAAATCATATTTTCATGGCATACGTTTTGTTCTTTTACGCAATTAAAAAACTTCCTCGGTGACTACTGAAAATAACTACTGAGAAGGAGATTCTAGCAAAATTATGGGCTCATCTCGAAATTTCCACTTTTAAAACTAAAATTCAATTGGTTAGCGAATCAAACCTGTTAAAAAGACATTAACGATCTCTAAACCTCATCTTAACGAATATTTAAAGAATAATAGGGGAAGACTTTATGCAATACTTCATGTACAGTATTTGTTTTTGGCTGAAAAAAAATTGAGCATTCTTTGTAAACATTTTAAATTTGTGATGAGCAGAGGATACATAAATCCAAGTTTTAATAAAATATTTTCAATACAAAATTGAAATTTATTATTCTTAAATAGAATTTTGCTTCATATCTTTGACAGGAATCCACTAAAAAGCGGGAAAAATATCAATTTATTGAGCTTATAGAGTACTGTTAATTTCGAAAACATCATGTTTCAGAATAAAAACTGCAGTCTGATGAAATTTGCAAGACTTAACATGTAGATTTATTTGCATTATGGTATTTATTAGCTCCTAGATCTAGACTTGGTTACCGTATTTCTGTAATTTTAGATAAACTATCATATTCAGGCAAATTTTCAAGTGTCACATAATTAAAACTGAAGTTGAAATAACAGTGACACACATAACCAACAAATAACCAAAACATGTACTGATGGAGAATGAAATTCTAGCACAAGAAGTCAGTTTAGAGGAATGAAATGTTAGCAAAGCATTCGTCCAGGTAACGTATTTATTTGATTGAAGTTTCAAGGTCACAGGTTAAAGTATGTGCAAAAAAAGGTATTTCAAATGTGAATTGGTGGTATACAGTAATAACCCCCTGTAGTCGTCCTGATGTTGAATGCAAGCATACATACGTGCATGAAATGCGTGGTGCATTTGTTGTATGTCATTTTTTTGGGATAGAATTCCATGCCTGTTGCACATGGTTAATCAAATCAACAGCGGTTCGTGCTGGTTTTGGATGATGCTGAATTTGTCGTTCAGTCATGCTCTATATGTGCTCGATGGGAGAAAGATTTTGCAAGTCAAGGCAATATGCCGAAATTCTGTAGAGTTGGGTTACAGCAGCTGTAAGTAAGTATGTAGGTAGGTGACGGAGGACGGGGACGCCTGATATATAACATAGGTAAACAGGCATGTGTCCCGCGTCCTCCCGAGGTCGAATCAGGAGTTTATTAGTTTTAAAAGAAAATGCATAGATTGCCATACAAGGGCGCTTTTGACATATTCGTTGTACATTGCTATTTTTTTTACATGCGTTCAGATGATGGTGGACATATACATACATAAATACATAACATGTAAATCTAAGATATAAATAATAGACATGCAATTAAACATATAAACAAACATAAATAAATACATATTTAAAGAAGCTGAAACAATTCTTACAAATAGTAACATACATAAATAAAGTATAATAAAAATAAAATAGAATAAAAATATAAAAAAAAAAATAGAAAGAACAGATACAATAATATAATAGCATAAAATAACTAATTAAATATAAAATAACTAATTTAAATATAAATAACACATAAATAAATAGTCACATAAGGCTTGCAGAAAAATATGTGAGCGCTGAGTATAATTATAGTAAATGGAAATAACATGATAGATGGATAATGATTGATGTATTTTATTACAATTGTCATTATTGTGGTTGGCAGTCATCTTGTCCAAATGCTGCAATTGTGTCGGCTATTTTACAAATTTTATTTACAGCGGCTTTATTCTGTATTAAGAAACGGCGGTAAGCTTCCCTATTAATAGACGGCAATGGCAGATGAAGATTTGCTGTAATAGGACATGCAAATAAGTAGTGGTCAGGAATACCCTTTTGTCCACAGACGCATAAATGTGTTGTTGAAATTCCATGTTTATAGAAGTAGGATGGAAACAGGCCATGCCCTGTGATAAAGTTGGTGAGTGGTGCTGTAGCTATAAGTCGTTCTGTTGTAACTTTTGGTAAAAGATCATATGTACGCCTGTCCGTCTAGCCTTGGATCCTTTCTCGTTGCCATTCTTGCAGAGCCTTTGTTTTTAGAGCTACTTTTAAATGTGAAGGAGGAGCAGGAATTGTAATTTCTTGTGCTTATGTTTGTTAGCAGCAGCTTTGGCAAGTAGATCTGCTGCCTCGTTGGTGTCCGCCGATAACATCGCGGACGAGAACGTCGCGGAGAAAACAACGCAAGGCGTAAACGTCGTGCTACAAAACATCGTGGGAGAAAACATCGCAGTTCTAAAACATCGTGGTACAAAACATCGTCGTCGAAAATAAAGCGGTCCAAAAACTTCGCAGTTTAAAAACATCGTCGTCGAAAATATCGTGGTAAAATATAAAGTATCTACAAATCATCGCATGACGATAACATCGCAGACATGCTTTTTTCAGGCTTTAATAACTGTAAATGGATATTCCCATAATGATTTGTGAGCGCAAGATGTAAAGAAGGATAATTTTTACTTTCATATTTTTTATTAAATATTAAATTTTTGCTGAAAAAATAAGAAGAAAACTTAAGCATAGAAAATTAATGCAACTTATAGCACTTAATAGAATTTTAAATCGACATAGTTAACTAACAAAGACCATTAATAAATCATTTTTTATAAAGATTTTACAGGTAATTTTTCATAAAAAGTCTAATCTATTAAGTTGCATTTAATTTTCTATGCTTAAGTTTCCTTCTTATTTTTTCAGCAAAAATTTATTAGTTAATAAAAAAATGTGAAAGTAAAAATTATCCTTCCTTACATCACTTGCGCTCACAAATCATTATGGGAATATCCATTTACAGTTATTAAAGCCTGAAAAAAGAATGTCTGCGATGTTATCGTCATGCGATGATTTGTAGATACTTTATTTCTTACCACGATATTTTCGACGGCGATGTTTTTAAACAGCGAAGTTTTTGAACCGCTTTATTTTCGACGACGATGTTTTGTACCACGATATTTTAGAACTGCGATGTTTTCTCTTTGCGATGTTTTCTCCCACGATGTTTTGTTGCACGACGTTTTCGCCTTGCTTTGTTTTCTCCGCGACGTTTTCGTCCGCGATGTTTTTGCTGCGATGTTTTCGGCTGTAACCGGCTCGTTACCAATATTGCCAACATGTGCCATATCATATTAATATGAGGTTGTGGATAGCATTGTAGAGTTTCTTGCAGATTTATTGTAAGCAGTGAAGTATGATTTTGATTTTCTGTTGCATATAGAGTTGATATTCTATCTGCAAAAAGAGTTGCAGTATGTGATTGACAATTAATGATGTGCTGAAATGCTGCCGTAATAGCCAGAGCCTCGGCTTAAAACACACTATTATATGGTTGTAAATGTTCTTTCTAAACACATATGACGTTGTCTGCTTCGTAATAGATGAATGCACTGCCCACACCGTTGTCATATCTTGAGCCATATGTGAAAGTTTTAGTGATGGTGGTTTGTATTGCCGTGTGCGGTTGGTTTATTCCTTTATACTCCTAGGCCTATACGTGCCGATTGAGTGTGCAAAATATTGCCCGGATGTTCAAATGCTACTGGGCTGAAGGTTGTGTCGCAAAAGGTTGCATCTTTGCGAAGATGTGTAAGACTGTCGTATGCTGCTATGCTGCTTCCAGTTGAGCTTTTTATATGCAAAGGGAATAGACCTGCTAATACATATGCTGAGTTTGTCGGTATAGCTCTGTAAGCTTTACACAGGTTGAAGGCAAATGGACGCTGAAGACTGCTAAGTGTCTTAGTTTCCTTCCTCTCATAGGATTGGCCTAAATTGCTGGTGCATAAAGTGCCACTTTTTCTACTGCTGTAAGATATAATATTTTTGCGATATGTGGGTTCTGCCACTACTTCCGTGCTTGAAAATGTTTGGCCATTCGTGCTATTATAGATGAGCTTGTAGGCGGAGAATCCAAGTAAGACCTGGGTCCCATATTGTTCGTAGATGTTTAAGGTTATTGACCACTTTAATATTCTTCCCTTCTAGCTTAATACATGGTTTTCTTTTAGGGTTGGTACCTGGGTTTTGGAATTATTAGTGCCATTGATTTTCCCATTCAAATTGTTAGTTTGAGCTGGCTGCATAATTTGGCAAATAGTGTACAAACTTCAGTACCATGCTTTTCAAGTTCATCGTGCACTCTTGCACTAAGAGCGCTGCGTCATGAGCATACGCTATGACTGTTGTGCGTGAAGGTCATTCAGTATTTAGTACTGCATTAAATATAATATTCCATAATAGGTGGCCTGCGCAAGAACTCTGTGGACAGCCAAGAACTTGTTGGCTGGTTGCAATACCATTTCTATTAGATAGTAATAGATGACGGTTGTGGAGTTAGCTTGAAAAGAATGTTAAACGTTGACCGGGCAATTAGCATCGCGCAGTGCCTGCTTAATAGAAGGCCACTATAAAGTATCGAAGGTGCTTTATACGTCTGTTTATATAAAGGCTGTATGCTGATTATTTTTTCTGTTTCTTTGAGTGCATTGTAATATGCCATTTAATGCATGTGTAGTAGAGGAGCTGGAACGAAAGCCATATTGTCTTGCGCTGAGGTAATTGATAGAATGCAGATGCTATTTTAATCTATTTACTATTAGTTTTTTAATATACCTTTCCCAGCGTAGATAGAAGACAGTTTGGGCGAAAGGAGGATCCATAGGATGTGGTTGACATAGGATGCGGTACAGACTCTTAATTAGTGACTTTCATCTGACAAACAAAACACTCTCTTCGCCGAATACCACATCGTGCCATTCAGATGTTCAAGTAGCTCGTTGGCGACACCATAACAATCTTTTGCGTCGATGGTTTGGCGTTAATGGCAGTCTTCATTAAGGACGGCTCATGTGAAAGCCGATTTCAGCCAAACGCCAGGAAACTGTTCTCCGAGATACTGGAGTATCCAAAGCTTATTGCACGATTCCGCAAAATGTCTATAGTAGTCGATTGTGGGACCGCCAGCACTTCGTTTCGTATGCGTTTTGTAGTACATCTAAATGGACTTAAAATAGGATCTAAATGGACATATCCTAGTAATGGTGGTTTAACAGGCCCTCATTTCTCTAATCGCTGGTTTACCAACTTAAAGTGATACAAAGTACCCCATCTGTTTATTCTTAGATGATTCAATGTGATTGGCAGCGTCCTGGAAAATGTTACGATGTTATCGGAATAAATAGGCGATTACCAATTAAAAGAATGAAATTATAGCAAGATAATGAATCAAATGATCCTTTCTTATCAGTAAATGACTATATAAATAAGTTGTTTAGAAATATATGATCTCAGTGGATTTCTCATTTCATTGCAAATCTTGGAGGATTGTACTTCAAAGCAGTCATTCTTACAATACCAATACTCACGATGACCGAAATATTTGATGATCAGTTAATACTGTCCTATTTTAAAGATTTTCATGGCAAAGAGAAGATTGATTCTGTCTTTGCGGAACTCTGCACGTATCCTTTCCAACCCGTAAAACTGAATATTTACGGCCACCAACATATTCCAGCTCGACTTTGTTGCGCCTTCGAGGATGAAGATGGACTCACCTACAGTTTTTCGGAGAAATTGATCGTCGCCCAGCCCTAGACTTCTATAATTAAAAGTGAAGTGGAAGTACTCACCCACGAAAAATATAATTACGTTCTGCTCAACAAATACCCTGACGGAGATGCCAAGATATCCGATCACAGGGACGATGAAAACTCCCTGGATCCTTCCTACTGCATTCCCACACTGAGTTACGGTACGACGCGAGTAATTCATTTTACAAGAGAGAATTATATGAGTTATATTCTGAGTCTGGAACATGAATCGCTTCTAGTGACGAAACCCCCCACGAATGTAGTCTGCTCACCCGGTATCCCATCCCAGCTCGAGGTGAAGACTATTCGAATAAGTTTGACGTTTAGAAAAATTATATCTCCGCAATTGAACCGTTCTTATGATGAAATGGACTTCGGTTATTATGATGACATAACTAACTCCATAACCCCAAAACCATATATGAATAAAAAGAATTTTCCGCACAATAAAGCACGTTTAGAAGATGAGATACTCGAGATACCCCAGGACGACTGGCTGAGTTGGCATTATCAGTCATCACGAAATCATGATGAAGTGATCAATTATTGGCCATTAGAACGGATATGTCGTCTTCCCATCGTTGTAAGTAGAAATAATAACGTTCGAATTTATATACAAAACTTTGCAGAAAAGAATAATTTCAACTGTGGATCTTCTCTTGAGGGTGTGAGTATGACTCCTGCGACGTGGTATGATTTCATGAACAAATTACCAAATTTTAATTTCAAACATTCGGAAGCATCTTTCATAGCCAATAATCAGTTAGCGGTATTTTGTGCAAACGCGCAATGTGTTCTTCAACAAATTTTTAAAAGCTCCTGCGGTGGTTTAGGTCTCGTAGCAAATTGTTTTGAATTAGAGTCATATCAGACGGATAAACTTTTAGATTTATACAGTTAAATAACACACACTATCCAAACTGCTCTATTTCAAAATGTCTTACCGCATGAGGTATGAAAACGGTGATCAGAATGCCAGTAGTTAGAACTTTGGACTAGCGAGGCAATGTATGCAGAAACTTAACAATATTATTTACGAGGAGTACTTAACCAGTCTCATCTAGGTATTTATCTGTGACGGATGTGCAGTCGATCATCCAAGTCAGCGTCGCCACCCTTGTATAATGGAGACGATTCGGGAAAAAGCTATGAATAATACTGACAAAGCTATATTGTCAATGAACTTTAAAAGACTTCCTCTAAAACTTTATTTAAACACTTGCTGTGAACTGAAATTGGAATCATTTTCTACTTTCTGTAATTTCGCTTTCATTAGTATTATTTTTACATGTTAAAATAAATTTTATGATATATTCAGAGAGTGAGTCTGAGGACAATGAATTTAATATCTCTCAGTCAGAAGACGATACTACTGATTTATCAAGAGATAATACTTTTTCAGAGCCTAGTGAATGAAGTGATGAGGATATGAGCTCAGTAAAGATGTAAGCAGAAATAAAAACAGTGCCTTCTGTTCTTCCTCGTTTCAGTTTTACAGAAAACCATGGAGTATTGGTAAATTTTAGTAATGATAATTTGATTGAATACTGTGAATATTTTTTCGACGTTTCTCTGTTGCAGCTGATTGTGGATGCCACTAATATACATGCTGAACAACGTCTTCATTCTCAGAAATTTAAAATTCATTCAAAGAAGCAGAAATGCTGCTCAGCTTACAAGAAGAGGACAAAATTTTATTTCGTATTTGGATTATGCAAGGCATAATGAAAATACTAGTCGAACAGTTGTATTGGTCGAATGATGAAAAATTATGCACTTCTTTCTTCAGAAAACTAATGCCATACAAGCGAAATCACAATTTGAAACAATATCTGCACTTTTCTAACAATGAAAATTAACACATCCTAATGCAAGATTGAATAAAGTTTGGCCAGTTTAATAAAAAATAAACGAGTTGAGCAAAAATGCAGCTATCTTACAACTGGATGTATCTACTGATGAGAGTCATCTTTTTATATGAAGTTAGATTTGCTTGGAAACAGTGCTTACTTTTGAAAAGGGGCAGATTTGGTATAAAGATATAAATGTTATCCGAGCCAAAAAGTGGTTACATATGGTCGACAATAATTTTTACAGGAATATAAAATTTTTTTTTGATGAAGAGATTTTGAAGCCAGAATTTTTTAAATCTAAGCAAGTTTTCTAACACTTATGAAGCCTTTATTACATAAGGGATACTGTGTAACAGGCATGCGTGTGCAGTGTATCTGTATACACATACTGTGTATACACATACATACTTACGCACATCAAGAAAGACGTAAAAGACATCATGAAAAATCGTTTTTGAATGTATTTAAGTCCATTTTACAATCCGTTTTCGAAAAAAAAAGAGTCCTTTGTTTTGTCCGTATGTATAGACGTCATGCAAAAAACTTACAACGAGCAAAGTTTGTCAGTTACCTGATTGATCCTCAGTAGTGTCAGCTTCAATGATTTGATTATCAAACCACATATGAGCCACTGTCATTCTGTTTTGAGTTAAGGTTCCCGTTTTATCCGAGCAAATAGTTGACGTTGAACCCAAGGTTTCAACAGCCTCCAGGTTCTTTACAAGGCAATTCTTCAGAGCCATCCGTTTGGCAGTGAGTGTCAAACATACCTGTGCGATTAGAAATGTTTGTTAAAACATACAACAACTTGAATACCTAATACCACGAAACATTTATAACCTTCGAAACAGTATTTAAGGTTACTCAGTCAGTGAACATGGCTTAATAAAATGCGAATTGTAGAGTAAGTGTTAAAAAAATCCGAAAGATTTCAGATTTTAACTGTCGCCCAAAATAGTTTGTTATTGGCTGAGCTCGCAGCCTATCAGACTGCTGTTGCACTCACTCCTGATAACACTTTTTTGTACTTTTAGATTTATTATTAAGCATAATTTTATTCGCACTTCCGCCATATACAACTCAACAGCAAAATTATATGAATTTTAAAAGAACAGCATAGCAACATATATTTAAATTCTCGATGGAGTGCTAAGTGTCGGCATACATTTTTCTATTTTTTTTCAATCTTTTCTCAGCTCACAATATCAATGTTCCGTTTTCTTATTAAGATGGGTTTCAAAACTTTTTTTTTTTTATCTTTGTTTAGCCCAGATTGGATGTTAATTCTGAATAGGATATTAGTCTTGAAACGGCATTTTGCGTTGAAACACTACAAATGGCGTTTCATTTTTCAAATTGTTGCCAACAAATTCTATCGCCCTGTATTATGTTGAAAGAAATTAAATAATGAAGAATCTGCGTGAATGTACGCATGTTTCTAGCATTGAGAAAGACCAAAGGTACCTAGACCCATGACATTTTGAATAATGTTATCTTCCACCCCAACATTTGCACCTGGAAGGCCGAATTTTAAATTTCGAATTTGTTTTATTATCTATTTCATACTTTTTTGTAAAACTTTAACGAATTGTTGATTAACGAACCCACAAGTTCATAGCGAGCACTGCCTACACTGTACGGTGGGGAGGGGGGAATGTGTCTAGCTCGCAAGATTGTCTATCGGAAGTTCTAGAGATATGTTGTTTTAAAATGTTTTGTAATTTTGCTGCTGAATCGAATTTTATGTGGCATAAAAGCTAAGAGCGTAATATTTAATACAAAAGAATACAAACGCAAAAAAAAAAAAAAAAAAAAAAAAAAAAAAGTTTTGTAAAGCTATCTTAGTAAGAAAACTAAACATTGATTGATGAACAACTGAGAAAAGACTGAAAACGCAGAAAGATGTATGCCAACATTTAACACTGCATCCGGAACTTTAAATGTATACTGCTATGCTGTTTTTAAAAGTTTTTATGGCTTTATTTATGGCTTAAGCATGAAGAAAATGATGCTTAATAGTAAAGCTAAAAACAGTGGGGGTTAGAAGGAATGAGTGTAACATCACACTAGTAGTCTGCGAACTTTGCAAGAGCATAAATAAACCTTAGCAAACCCTTTTGACAACTTTTAAAATCTGAACACTTTCATATTTTTTCTTTTTATTATTAAGTGTTAACTTTGTTCATTAAATATCATGTTCTTCACATTTAAGCCACATAAAATCTAATTCAGCAACAAAATCACAAAATATTTATAAACAGCATAACTTTGGAGTTTCCGATAAACAGCCTAGCGCACTGGAGACAAAAATGTTTCTTTCCGTACACTGTTGTCACTAGTCGCTCTCAAATCGTTGATTTTCTTAATCAAAATGTCGTTAAAGTTTTATAAAATATGAAGTAGTTTGTAAAGTAAATATGAAATTCAAAATTCGGGCTTCCAGGTACCCATATTCAGGTGGAAGACTATATTATTCAAAATTCGATGTCTCTAGGTACTGTCGTTTTTCACAATGCAAGAAACATGCGCACATTCATGCAGATTCTGAATTATATAATATCTTTAAAAATAATGCAGGGTGATAACATTTGGTGGCAATAATTTTAAATTGATACGCCATTTATAATGATCAATGGAAAATTCCATTTGGGCTAACGCCCCTTTTGGGTTAATAAATAATAAAAAAATATAACGCCATTCTGCAAAAATATTAAATATTAATTAGATAGATCATGAATTAAACGATTTTTTATTATTTAAATCAACCCGATTCAAAAATAAGAAACGAATATTCTTAAGAACTGCATCTGTTGTTTTTAAATAGCTTAGTTGGTTAATCCAACAGACAGATTCAATTTGAAAGACATTACATTTTGAAGAATGGCAACAGACCCGAATCAAAAGTGAAACTATGCATTATAGTGATTTGACTCAAAATCGCATTTCGAAACTAATAGCTCCTTTTAGTCTAAAGAAAGGGAGTTAGAGGAGGGACAGCTTTTTATCTCCCACTATAGTTCGAGATGAAGCACTGATGATCGAGATGTGATCGACGAAGCTCATCATGTGTTTTTATTTTCTCGAGCGCGCGATTTAGGATATATTACATAGATTTGTGTTTAGTATTAGTCTAACGAATGAGTTTTGAGACAATATCCGAGTTCTCTTTTTAAATGACATGCTGATTGTTTTGCATAGTTCGATTTTTTTTGCCTTAAACTATGTCAAATCAACAAGTTACGTAAAAATCGTAAGAACAGGATTTTTTTGTTTTTTTAAAATTAAAACTAAAAATTGAGTATTATTAACAGAATTTGAATAACATCGCTTTTTAAATTAAACTTCCTTACTTTCTTCTTTTCTAATTTGACATTTAGTTTTAATTCAAAAACTTAGAAATTTGTTTTGTGATCTATTTAAAACATTTTGTATTAATGGAAGAAAAACACGCTAATGTAAAATTTAAAGCTAAGCAAAATGCTCCTGAAGAATAAGAATGTGTGCCTGATCGCCTTGAAATCGGTAAAGTTTTATTCAAAATGTGCGTTAATTGAGCTTGCTGGTTTCCCTAATATAAATTTTCATACGTTTCTAAAATTACTTTGAACTATAACCTATACAAATTTGCAAAAGAAGAAGAAAAGAAAAAGTATCTTTTTTTTTTGTAACACTTTGAATTGTAACCTATAAAAATTTGCAAGTGTTCTTAAAATAAATATTTTTTAATCTATTTTCGAATAGCTAGAAATTTTTAATCCGATATATTGAACATATGTTGAAATATTATGAATATTTGGTATGATTTCAGAACTGCAATAGGATTATAAGCAATAATGATGCCAAAACATGAGCATCCTTTCCTGGTTGGTTTTCTATTTATGTTTATTTTTCGTTTCATTTTATTATCAACGAAATTTAACAGATTGGTTCTTATTAGCGTAATATTTCAAATATTTTAACTTTAAAAAACGTCAATTTAATCATTTTTGGAAAATTACAACTGCACTAAAATTTTCAAGAATATTTTTAAAGAAAATCTGGTAGCTGTTTAAATTTGAAAATAGGGATTTTATATATGTCTGTTAGCATATCTCCTCAGCTTGATCTACAAATACTTTAAATGAGTAGTTTTTATTTATATTGCTGTGCCTTTGCTTAGATGTATTTAATTTTTGCTTTTAAATAATAGTTGAATATTACATATTATGAAAATAAAGATAAAGATAAGCATTGAAGAAGGTATATATATATATATATATATATATATATATATAATATAAGAAAACAGTTAATAATAATTTCGTACCAGGAAATAATGCTAAAAACTTTAGCAGGGAAAAAAAATTCCTAAACAAATCGAAGGGGGGGGGAAACCGTTTCTCATAATTTTCGGTTCTTATTCACGAGTTACTTAAGAAGAGAGAAACAGAAACCAATTCCTGCAAAGTAAGTTAAAGTAACACACCGAATAATAATTATTGGAAATGCTAAGGCAACAAAAATGAATTCAAACCTTCGAAACGAGTCGCGCAAATTTATGTAAACTACCACTGATACTTGTCTTAGCAACTCCAGTAACAAAATCCTTAATGTTTCAAACAGCTTTGTAACAGCAAAAAATAGTTCATTTGAAATAAAAAGCTAAAATGATTCCGTCTTCTCCCTAACCTCACATAAATACTAACTTGGATTTCATTTCCATTGTGATTCAGTTCTTCAAACATGATGTAATCAGGCAAAATACAATTGGATTAACGTAAATCTTTCTCTTCCTGCAAGTTAATGCTTCTCTCTTTTTACTCCCTAATTTTGTTTTAGACGAACAAGGAATCTGTTATCTCAGTTAATATTCAGATGAACGTATGTGAGATTATGTTGTAATACTAACAGTGACGGTAGCTAGTAGACCTTCGGGCACATTGGCGACGATGATACCGATGAGGAAGATGACTGCGTCCAGCCAATGGTAGCCTAAAATGAAGGCTGTGACGAAGAAGGCCAGTCCCAGGAAAACGGCCACTCCCGTGATCAGGTGGATGAAATGGGCAATCTCCCTGGCGATGGGCGTGTCACCCATCTCCAGACCAGAGGCCAGGTTAGCAATGCGACCCATCACCGTTCGGTCTCCAGTATTGATCACAACGCCACGACAGGTGCCTGAAATGACATATAAACGACTAAGATCAAAAATCATTATTATACCATCATACTTATATATCATTATTGAAATTTATATTTCAAAACTTTGGCACGTTTAAAGGTCAATTATACATCACTGAAAACTTTAAAAATATTTTTTTTTGTGAAAAAATTATCCAGATTTGAGAAAGAATTACTGAGATACATTATTTGAGAATAGGATGCGAAAATAGTAATCAGACAGCGCTATACTTTTATAATTGATTTCCTTTTTAATTGTCACGTAACCAGTGGTATGTGGATGGATTCCTTGGGTTTCATGCCTTAGTTACATTCTACCATCTGCTTTGTTATCTATTTGCAAGTTTTCATCATTTTTTAGGAATGTATACTAAGATATGTCAGAAATGATCGGAGCCCGGCTCCTGTGCTTTTCAAACTGAATGAAAACGTAATTCCAAGTGAGATGAACTTCGCTATTTTAATTTATTATTTAACTATTATTTAACTATTTGCCAATAATTTATTATTTAACTATTTGTCAATAATTTAATTGAATTTAATAACTTTTTAATTTATTTCTTTTGATAACTTAATTTTATTATTCATTATTTCTTATTTTATTTTTCTAAATTTGTTTAACTTTCCTCATGACTTTCCTTGAAGATCCGATACTTCTATGTTTAGAAATCAAGCCCAGCTGTTATTAATATCTATACGTATACTTATTATCAAAAAGCTAGTAAGTAACGATACGATGACATATAATGATAAATAAGGATGCAGTAAAGTTAGACATAGTCAACTTGCTTGACCACAGGCTGCTTCCATTACTCTATCGTTGCCTAAAATACTTTTCTCAGTTTTCGTGTGACCGCCACCGACATTAGCAATCATATGTCGTTGAAGCCACTGGCTATTTTGAAGCTGCTGGTTATCACTTTGTGCATTTTATGTTTCCATTACCGGAGGAGGTAGACATCAGAGTGATTCAGAAGATAGTGAAACATAAATACATGATGAGTTTCATGGAATACAATATTTCTCTTCATCATAAATTGAAGCATTGCAAATACTGCCGATAAAGTGCTGCCTCAATCTGTTAAGAACCAAAGCTTCGAGAAGAGCATTTGATTCCAATTGCGACTCGAATAAGTACTGTTAGCATACCGAGACACACCTACATCTGTGCATTTGAAAAAGAGACGCAAATATTTGTAACCTACAAGTACGAGCGAGCGTTCTTTTAGATTTGTTAATCAACTAGTATTTTTCTTGGTGGGAAGAGGATTCATGGATTTTTGGGTGTAGTTTCTCTATATTTTCGTATGCATTTCGTATGTTCCAAAATCATAACACAACGCAGTGACTGTCTCTTTTTGGATAAGTACATGCTATAACAGCAGGAATAAAGATTTTGTTTATAATTTGCAAAAAGTATATCGAGACTTGTAATCACTTTGCGGATGCTAACGCATAAGTGGTATCAGTAAAAATATGAAGAAAATGGACGTTGTTTTACCTTCATTAAGTGAAGTAACGTCTAGATCAGTTGAAACGAAGAGAAATGCTAGTTATCGGGGTTGAAATGAACAACTTTGCTTACTCCTTTTACTAAATTGGCAGGAATGTAAGTATGTGTAACAAAAGTATGAATGTCACAACATTGTTAGTTTTAGGTGTTACAGAAGAAACTAAATTAGAAATTAACTTAGAATAAACTGGCAACGAGCTGTCATACCTTCAACACAATTCGTTGAGAAGTAAGCGAGGTTCCTGGTCTCTAGGGGGTTTTCATTAGTCATTTCGGGGGATCGACTTTGGGGTTCGGATTCGCCAGTCAGAGAGGAGTTGTCCACTTTGCAGGAGGATGCGGATATGATACGGATATCTGCGGGTATCCGGTCCCCACCCTTCACTTCCACGATGTCCCCGACTACGACGCCTTCAGCTGGAATCGTATACTTCTGTCCTTCTCGTACAATGGTGGCGTACTGTTTCAGAAATATGTCAGTAATTGGTAAATTGCATTAGCATATAAGAAATAAGTCTTTCTAGATGAATGGAAACTAGTCCCCAATTTATAAATTAAAAAGAGGATATGAATGAGTTAACCATATTATGAGGAACATAATATTGTAGTCTTAATATAGCTGCTTTAAAAGATTTTTACATTGCTTAAAATTCTCAGGCTATGCTTATTTATATAAGTAATATAAAAATTAGCATTGCTTATAAGATGATACTAGAAATAAATATTTTCCTATAATAAACAGACTATGAATAACTTGCAGTCTAATAAATAAATATATCGGATGTACTGCCGAGAACTGTTAAAGTTGTTATTATTTTGCTATACAAAAGTCTGCTTGATTAATTGCCATTCTATATAGGTATCATACGCTTTCAAAAATGAACTTATCTATTCTTGCATAAAATTTTTAAAAACTGAATGAATGATATTTAAAATAAGTTGATGTAATTTAGATCATATTTCCTATGTAACTTTCAAAAAATTTAATGCGAAAATTATAACTCCAAGAATGTTTTGTCATGTAAGAATGCTATCATGTAAAAGAAAGGAAGAAAATAATAATCATGCAAGGAAGAACAAAATCATTTAATACGCATGATACTACAAATGCAATTCAAGCCTGAGGAATCTAGAAGAATTTCATCAAGGTCAAAGTGAAGTTCTTAAAAAAAAAAGACTACAAATAAAAAATTGCAGTTAAAATACTTTTAAGTAATGCATGTTTGAGTGATAATTATCAAAGTGATAGAATCTGAAAACATGTGCAAAATGTTACACGTAACTAAAAGTTAAGATTAACATTAATTATAAACTTTTTATTTATCAATCCAATACATGAATGCAATGTAAAATAAATACACAAGGAAACTTAAAATATAAAATTCGACTTACCTGAGGAACCATATTTTTGAAGGATTCCATAATTTTGGAGCTTCTTGCTTCTTGATAATAGGAGAAACAACCCGTAACAATAACTACAACCGACAATACGATACCCAAATACAGCTGAAAAAAGGAAGTAAAAATTTAGCGTTACAATTACGTATGTTCTATGAAAAGTGCAGTGAAAGAAATATAGCACATTCTTAAAATGAAGAATTATTATTTCATCTTGGTAACATTCAGAAAGTGGTTTTTAAATCTTATCGTTATAAATAGAAGTTAAAGCAGCTGAAGTAATATTTGTAAAAATTTTTCTGAAGGCCAACTCCCGCACACACAAAAATCAACTGTATGTAAAGATGCAAAAATTTGCTTAAAAGAAAATGCAGTAGGATTTTATGAAAGCTAGACAAAGGGTATTTCCACAAGTTTTAACATTATGCTGCTTATCAAATGTTCCCTTAAGACTGTGGCATTTTTTACTAATCCAAAACTTGTAACTATCTTGGTGGTTCAGTTTAAATGTAACAGGCGTTGAAAAGCTCAGTTTTAAACACAACAATAACAAATTTATTTACAACGTTACTGAAATAGTGAATAGTATTAATCGTGCCATTAATTATTAGGACCGGTGACTCCCTTACAAACATTCTTACTCATAGCTTATTCATATCACATCTCATTAGTACAAATTGCAATTCTACACTGAAGAAACAGGCGGGGTACAGCGCCATCTATAGGCGTTTCGTAACAAAGACTGCATAAACACCCATCTTTGTTATATAGAATTTAAATCTCTTTCAGAACAGCGTAATCCTATAGAAGTAATTATTCCTTAGATTGCAGTTATTGTGCGTAAGTACCAGACGTGGTAATTATGGAAATATTTATTAAATCATACTAAATAGTTATCTAAGCTTATTTTGAAAAGTAAATTTTATCTTACATTGTCATCTGGAGGCTCTTCGAAAGTGCCAGCTTGGATGGAATATGCAATGAAGCAGAGGATGGCGCCTATCCAGAGTAACAGGGCGAAACCACCGAACAGGTTCTTACAGAATTTGACCCATTCGGGAGTCTTCTTTGGGGGAGACAAAGAATTGGGCCCGTCTCTCTCGTAAATATTCCTAGCTTGAGCTTGAGTTAATCCCTGTAAAAAGATAAAGAATAAATTAATGTTATAAAAGTTTCAGAAACCACCTGCTGCTTTGCAATTCTGGAAAGGGGAAAAAATTTAAAAAGATGAACGTTTTTGCTGAAAGATGAAATTCAAACTTGTTTGTTAATTGTCCCGCATCTTGAACGTTAATAAACTAAGAAGCATTGTAAAGAATTGTCTCATTTATTTCATTTTGGACCGGCATGATGGCAGCTTATACGTCTAAAGCCTGACTGCATTGTCTGAAATTTCTCTAATTAACCGTAAATCATCCCAGTTATGTTGAATATAGCTTGTCACCTATGCGATACATTCAAATCATTTTATCATTTTAAATTATTTATTATTCATTTCACATTCAATTCAAATCATTTGGAAAAAAAAAACTGTTTCTTGCTTCGATTTGAAGAAAACTTATGTGACTAGCATCTAGACACTGAATGCAAAACTATTGGTAGTTTAAATCATGCTTTCAATAATAGATTGCAGGAAAGCTTCACAGTTTTGTTACAGATTACGAGTATACAAAGAAAGAATCAGATAATTTGATCGTGGTTATATATATTTTTTTATTTTGAAAGCAGTACAGATGTATTACGCAGTTATAAAACAAATATTATGTAACAAGGTATTTGTTTTATTAGCTTATAGCAAAACCGTGAGCTTTTCGCTTTCTATAGCAACACTTTAGTGGAGACCTCAAGAACAGTGAAATAAATTTGCCAGTTTTAGCGTCTTAAGTATTCTACTAGAAACTTACAAACTACATTATTCAGATATCTCTCTAAGATAAGTCCATCATTTTCTCTATCAGCTGCATTTTTTCTTTTAAATAAAAGTAAATATTATCAGGAACATTAAAGACGTCGTTATTTCAAAGAAAAAGTATATTTCAGAAGTATTTTTCCAACAACATCTAATACAGTACAAAGTCCGAAATCGGTACTTTGGAGCCTAAATTTTTTTTAAAGTAATAAAGTACCAAAGTACTCGTCGGTACTTTGGCGATTCCGGATTTGGGATTTTTCCGGATATTAGATCATCAGTTTAAATCTAGTAAGATGGGATGTAGAATTTATAAAATTAAAAATATGAAATCGTGATTTATGAAATAAGGAAGTATTTATGATCTAAAGGGTAGTAAAATTTACAAAAAAGCTTAATATTTATTTATTTACCTTATTAAACATTTCTTTCAATGTAAGTTGTTTCGTTTTTTGTGCTAATACTTTCTCTTTAATTCTGTAGACAGACATAATCTCTTGTTGAGTTACATTGTTGAAGTCCTGTAACTGCTGTTTCGAGAATTCCGACTAATTTGTCAATCGAAATTTTCTCTTTTTAAGTAAATTCTCTGTTTTCAGGATCTAGAACCTTAATACAGATTTCGCCATTCATTAACTGATTTGATGATTGAGAAGCATTGTCATCACAATGAAAAACCTCTTTTTATATCATCTTCATTTATTACCCCTGCTCCACATTTCTTTATAAAATCCGTTAACTGGAAAAATTTCACCTTTGTTTTGCGATATCGGAAATTAGCGGCTATCATCATCAAATTTAGCTATCCTTCACTATGCATCATGAGCTTGGCGACTAACGACAATTTGTCTCGTTAAATTTTATCTTGCTTCTATCGCGCACTGAGACAATTAAGCCTGCATTGTATTAGTTTAGGTATACTGTTAAAAATTTAATAATAAATATAATAAATATATTTATTATAGTTTTGTCAATTTCTTGCACATGTTTAAGGCTTATCAGAGTTCTGAATAAATAAATTCCTACATATACATAAGCCTTATTGAGGGCCGGCGCTAGATATCTTACCTCGTGATGCAGTCTTTGTGGGTCCTAAATTCTGCGACTTGGTGCGGCCATACGAGCCCTGGCTCTGGTTCTGGGTTTATGTGAATAACAAATCAGTTATTCTTAATTCAAATAGCCCGAAATGTAATCTTTGGGTCTATGAGTATAATCAACAAAATCTAGTTTTATCATATGGCAAGAAAGGTTTGGTAAATTCTTCCCCGTCAACATTTTTTTTAGCATTTAATTTAAATCTTTAATAATCGCCAAGCGTAGCGTAATGTCATCAGAAAAGGTTACCACACTTCTTTATTATTCAATTACTAACATAAAATTGTTTAGGCATCGCTACATAAGTCATTACTCATTTCTCAATTTGTCATGTTTTCATAAATATGCAGTGATGAAAGGAAAGTATAATAAATAATGATTCACCAGGTTGGTGTTAGATCAACGATGTATCTATGTGGAATATTTCGGTTTGAGATGTGTGGCAAAGCAGATATGCAGCAACGGAACCAAATTACTGATCGTACAAATTTATGCTAAAATGATTGTTATTTATTTAGTATCGAAGTGAAATTAAAAATCGGAACTCTCCAGATGTTTTATTATGCGTTGAGGGGGGAATCAAATGCGCATGCGCAAAGCCTACGAGAAAACGTTGTTGGTGGTTTTGAGGTCCGGATTTTAGATCATTCCACATAATTAGGACGTGCGGATTTCGGACTTTGTACTGTATATCTAAAATCCAAATACCTTAGGATAATACTTTAGATACTGATATTTTAGGCACTTTAGATATAAGTAAAAATACGTTACTTCAAATACTTTAGATATAAGTAACATTGAAATTTTTGAAACATTGGCACACATTGTGCGTTAAAAAATTATTGGGTAGCTACATATATTTAAATACTTTTATGTGCACCGACGATAATTTGTGTCAACGAGTGCAATTTAATTATCGCAGATTAAATTTTGAAAGAACAGAAAATGGAGCTGACGTGACAGCATGAATGAGCTCTATGAATTTCTAAAAGTTTGGTTGTTGGGAACTATTGTGATTTGGTAAGTTGAACATATACCATTTAGCTGTATCTAAAAAGGTTCAACATGATTCTTGTAGATGTGGTTTTTAATACCATCAGTTTTGTGCCATTAATTTGCACCTTTCATGGTAATACTGTCAAGAACATAAGAAACCTTCTTCTTCCATGTGTTTATTTCATATACTTTACGCTAATAATATTTAATCGAATTTTCCAGGATAGTATCAAGGAATTTAGGTTTTTGCCTTGACAAATTGAATCATAGTTCTTACTCTAGATAATTCCTACATGAATTATTCAACAGGATCAAAGGTAAACGAAACCTTTTTTTAAATTTGAAGACCATGTAAAGCAAATATGTCCGACATATTTTCATATATTTTCCTTTCTAAAACCAGCTTTTGATCATAACATGTTTGATTCAGTGCAAGCAACAGCAAGTTAGTGTCTGAAAAAACTTTTATTTCATATAAACAACTGAATTTGAACTGAAATTAAAATAATAAAAATTGTTAAAAGAAAAGTACCTTCTCGGGATCTGTTCCTAAACGCGTATACAATTCCTGTAAAGTGATTTTGTGTTCGTCCTGAAAAAAAAAAGTTAAGTATTAGTGTAAGAATAGAAATTATAGGACATTTAGAAATTATAGGACATACCGAAAATATTACTTAAAAAGTAGTAACAAACAAACACGAAATAGAAAACAAATTGTCATATTCCAGCAAAAAATTAATTACCCATCTCAAGCTTATTTTCAGTGCAGCTAAGAAGATCAGAAATGCAGATATATACTATTTTACATTAGAAGATAAACGAAAAAAAATAGTTTTGAAGTTTTAAAATATTAGGATCAAACAATCTCAAGGGTACTTTTATGGATTTGAATTTTGACAACATTTGGAAACACGAAAACTTTGATTTTAGATCAGCATTAATTTTAGAGAATGTTTATTTTAATAGGATCTAGCGCAACTGAATTAAAGTCTAAGAACGTAAAGAAGGAATAATGATTTGAATTTCAGAATAATTTTAAAAAGCATAAAAATAGGAGTTGAAGTTGATTCTGAGAACGATGTTGCTTGCATTTCAGAAAAAATATGAAGATGACTTAAAATCTTTATGCATTTGGAATTTAAGGAATTTAGGACGATAGTCAGATAATGATAGACGATAATCATGTTGGCAATAACAATATGTTTGGATGATAAAGGTTTTAAAAACATACAGAAGCAAAACCAGACAAAATAGGTTAATTTTAATTAAAAAAAATTGAAAAATTAAAAGCAGTGATTAAGAAACTAAGGTGAGAAACAGAGTAATAATACGAGCAAAGCGAAGGTAAATAATGATTTCAAACCTAAAAGTTAAAAAACAACAGAATTTTCAAAATTTATTGATAGGGTTATCAAAATAGCAAATGGGAGAAAAATGTATTAACCCGAGAGTTAAAATTTAGCAAAATTCAATTTCCTATTGGATAACACACGATCTCCAAATGCATTCAGATTTTCTCAAATGCGCATGCGCAAAGCCTACGAGAAAACGTTGTTGGTGGTTTTGAGGTCCGGATTTTAGATCATTCCACATAATTAGGACGTGCGGATTTCGGACTTTGTACTGTATATCTAAAATCCAAATACCTTAGGATAATACTTTAGATACTGATATTTTAGGCACTTTAGATATAAGTAAAAATACGTTACTTCAAATATCTTAAGCTGAAGTTTCTTGATTTTAGAATAAATATGTTTCTATTTTGCCTGCAAAATAATGATGTGCTTTTTGATATATTCATGAAACGAGTACATTTTTCCTTAGCCATTTTTGAAAAAATAACCGCGACGTTTCACTATTCATCTGTGCTAATGTAGAACTGAGTTTGGAACTGTGTTTTTATTTAATGCTAATCCGTATGTTAAGTATTTTTATGCACTTTTAAAATTTTCAATAGATTCTTTCCAGTTCTTACTTTACCACAGATATTTTGAGCGAAATGAAATTTGGTACAAATTTGCATATTTCTAACATACGAAAGAATAATTCATTTGAAATTTATTAATTTATTTACTGTTTGAATAAGACTAACAATACCAAAACTAGAAATATTGCATATATTTTTCTATTTTATTAATATGCTTGCGTTAAAGAATGTAATTTTAATTATTGTAAACGAGATAAGTATTCTTGGACAGGTATTAAGTAAGTAGTCACTATTGTCACTAGTTACGAAATTGCTTAAACTGAATGCCTCATAGTTAGAATAAACATATTCAGAAATCAAAATCAGAATTTTTTTTTTATATTTCATTTGTACGGTGTCAAGTTTATCTCTTGAAAAATAGGTAAAACTCTCAGAGAGATCATTGGGTAATGAAATTTTGCGACAGTTTCGTTGTCTAGGATATGCACTAACAGTTGGAGGGAATTTCGATATTAGTTTGTCTGTTTGAACACAATTTTTCCAATTAATTTGCCTTTTACAAACGCACATTTAAAAAAAAAACTCTGGACATGGCAAAATCAAAAAGTGCTTACAATCAAAACACATAGCATTCTTGTACTGTACTATAATCATCTTTCATCTGAACTTCTTGACTATGTGGCTTATTTTCACATTAAGGAATAATATCTAGAATTTCCTTGTAACAAGATATTTTCATGTGAGTTGTTTTCTCTGCGAAAATTAGTGATATAGCTGAATAAATGAGGCGACAAATTGCCAGCTTGGTCATTCAAAAAAACATGGATAGAAATCACACAAGACTGATTGCTCTGATTATTTGATTTCATGTAGTCTCTGAATCTTCAGAAGTAATTCAACGTTTAAAGTCTTGATTTGCAAAGTAATTCAAAGTTGAAAGGTTCGTTGGTAATCAAGGCTCCTTGGTTATTCAGGTTCCTTTGTAATTGCGTTGGCAAATTTCCTTGGTGTTGACAACGTCCCTTAGCAATTCAAGGTTCAGTCTTGTAGAATTATTTTACAGCATATTTTAGGCATAAAATCTAACGAATGGCAGTATCAAAACAATTTATATATGAAAATAATCCAACACTTGTAATAGAAATTAAAAAGTAATGACAAAAATATGAAATTCACAGATTTATTCGATACTCACGACTTCGATACTCACGATTCTGTAGTACAAAAAGTACTACAGAATTTAAGAAAATAAACGGGAATAATCCCGCTACGATAAAATTGTCAACAGAGTTATTGGAAATAAATATATAACACTTAAATTTCAGTCTTCGCAGAAATTTCTTCATTCATAAAGAACTTTTCTTAAAACAAGCCTGTTAGGTTTAGTATTAAACAGTTCCGTGTTGACCATTCATATATTTCGAAACATTAACCTTTCTTTTTCTTTCTCTCCCGATAACACAGCAACTATCCGATAGGTTTAGTTTAGTTTAGCTTTTCGACAAAAAGCCTTATTGAAACTATCTTTATAACTAGGCGTTCATGGCATGCGCCTGTTTATGCATGTTTGAATCAAAGCAGAAATGAGTAACTGTGGATGGAAAGCTTGTCAGTCAATTAATGGTTGGAAGTCTAGTAGGAAGGAGGACGTCCAGCGTATCTGAGAGTAGTGCAGTAAGAAAAAGATGACGAAATCTGTACAGTAGCGGAAAAAAGGGATATCCACAAGGAAGATGCCAGTTGACTTGAATGATACATATTTTAGATAGATAAAGATGTGTTAGACAGTTAAATTCTATTAAATACATTATTTGCATGCACAGAAGGAAAAATAGCTTACACAGACAATTATAACAGCCAAAATTACTAGAACAGTACTGCCCAGCAGCAGGGATGCATAATTACAACGCTAATAATTAACAATATTAAAGCATTAAGGGATAGGAGACTCTGCAGATATTATCACTAAAGAACTGTAACAACATGATATCATTATGTGATGTTGTTAAGAGCGCAAGACTATGGCAGCATACTATTAAATACCATGTAGGGTTATTAATATTATTTTTTAGTAATCAGATATTTAAAGTTTTGGATCTTTAATGTCGCTTATCGTTTCCCTACCAGAATGTAAATGAGGCAGAAAGAGTTAGTATATAAAGGAAGGTTTCGGGAGTTTAATTCAGAGCGTGTTAAGTTCTAATCACATTATGTTTCGGCTACGCGGGACTGTACGTTGAAAGGGACAATTTTCAGAACCCGCACATTTCCAGGAAACCCACGTAGCTAGGTTACCATTTTCACTTACTACAAAGACTTGAACGCCAAACACTAATCAATTATCGCTCAGATTGGGATCATGTGATCCTTCAGAAGCAGAACTTTCTGATTGGTTGACTCTACCCGGGACAGAGCTCCAGCCAAGACATTTTCGGTGATGTTTGAAAAAATCCTGCGTAGCCGATACATCGTTTCCGTAGCTGGGCAGGACTTTCCTTCCAGCGGCGCTCTTTTTTCTAGGAATCCTCCCGTTTAAACCAGTGCTCGTATCTCAGAAAAATCCCGTCTAGCAGGGACTGTTGCTAGAAGAGATAACAGCATTATGCCTCTCGAGGCCAAGTTACTAGATAAAGCTAGCTCAGATAATATTGCATTATTCACCTTTGCCCCATAGTTGTCGATATTTAAATTGATACGCCGGTAGGAAGTTTTGAGCCAACTTCCCGTTAAATCCTTTATGTAGCCCTTGGTTATTAAGTTTTAAGTTTGAAATTACTATTTCTTTACGTTATCTCGCCACAAGTGGCTGGCGGAGTTTGTAAGTAGGAATCGTGGATTAATGTTCAAGTTTCTGATGTATTGAAATGGTTTGTTTTAAAAGCTTTGTTTAATGAAATGGTTTGGTAAGACATTGCAGTTTTGTCCAGACATAGCGATAATTCGCTTAGCATCTGTTAGAAGTTTATGATGCCAAAGCAAGCCAAATTTTATAACATTGAAGAATCAAGACTGCATAAACACATTACTATTAAATAAAACTATTAATGAGACGAAACTGTTACAAAACACGCAATTATGAATTTAGATATGATAATGTGTATACTAACATTTCCATATAAAGCCAGTAAAAAAAATCAAATCCCTGTTACTCATGTGACAGGCAAGGCTATTGACCCACTGTGTATGAAGGTAATGAGTAAGAAAATGCTATGTAACTTGCATATGGTCCAAAACTTCTTATTCATAGCAAACGTTTTACCGCAGAATAACGTTTTTAAAATAAGTCACAGGTGTTGTTTCCCTGAGTGAACGTGATAAAACTAACAAATCGTCCTTGGAAGCCTGTCAGCAGAATGAATGTTTTCATTTTAACAGAGATTGGATCGCTTCCAGCCACTGTGACCTCGGAATAAGCTTCCGAGTGTGTTAGTTTACTATGCAATAAATTATAGTAAACTCATTCATGTTTTCGGGTTTACTCAAAATGTGAATGAAAACTGGAAAGGGCATCTGCTGTGTATTGTGTCCTTTCATTCGGAGCTAAAAAGAACTGATTTCGATTTATGAATGCTACTTCAAAGAATCTTGAAATATAGCTGAGGTGTATGTACCCTTATAGAAACCGAGTATTTTATCCTTTTGTACAATTATACTGAGTTTTGTGGTTGAATTTTACTTTTACATTTTCTTATTTTTCATCACAAATATTTCGTCCAATCCAGAAGCAAATATGATTTATGTGAGAGTAAATTTAAATACTGCAGACTAGAAATGCACTAGAAAACTAGTGCTATGGCTCAATGCGGAAGGCTCAATACGACTCTTCAATACGGAAGGACATAGCTGTTCAACTTCAGGTTTATATGTATGTACATCAGTGTATGAGTAGCCCTTGCAAATCTACTGACCCTTTAATCTGAATAACAAGCATGATACTCAGAATCAAAATGCAAGGGTAAGTGTGGTTATTCATCGGACTTCCTGAATTAGATATGAAACATCATTTGCTATTATTCACGTAACAAAGGTGCGGCCATAACGTTTCAACTCTTCATTGTAATAATAATCATTTAACACTTTATTTGTTTTGGTTACTAATATTATATATTTCGCAACGTTTCAGCAGTATGAAATTTAAAATAATTAATTGATTATGAGAAGATCGCACTCTACATTAATGAAAAATAAACAGTTAAAAGAATTGCATTTTTAGTCTTTAAAAATAGAATTAGTTTTTAAGAAAAGTAAAAATGCTGTCTTCTGCTTACCATGTCGACCTCCTGCTTGAGGTCATTGAGATCAGGTTTCTTCTTCTTCGCTTTGTCCTTGTTCAACATGGTTAATGTTTTTGAGGGTTTCTCTTCACTCCAATTACTGTTGGCAGATACTGCCGCTCGGTAGCTATCTGAATCTTTAGGCTAGGGAAATATCATGGGTATAAGTTGAGAATACTTTTAATAACCTTTTATAGCAATAATAATAATAATAATAAAATTAATAGAAAAAACAGCAACCATACTTATGTATCATAAATATGAAGAGATATTTGAGCAGTCATTCAAATAACTGAAGGGAATATTAACGTTACGTTTATTTTTATTATGAGATTTGATAGAATTAGAATGTTTTTTCATGCTAAAGTACTTCTTGAGACTATCAATGTTAAAAAAAGCAAATAGAAAGCAGTCGAACGTTTAGCTTATAAAACTGCTTTCTTTTGATTTAATCATTCAATAGTAAAGATCAGAAGTGCAAATAATTCTCTGCTTCTTATTTGATTCCCATTTCCAAAACGTTGCTGTTTTTTCAAGCAGAAGTTTATTTCTATTTTCTAGTAACTCTTTAGTATGTTTTAGTTTCTAGTTTTTTTTTAAAGATTTTGATAGTCGGCGTTCTTTTCATTCCAAGTTGATAATTTTTTTCCATTTATAACAAAATATGTATTAAATTTTTTAAAATTATAGTACACTTTAAGAATGTATACTATAATTTAAAACAATTATCTAGAAGGCGTTAACTTCATTTCAAGTAAACACTTCGTTTCCTTTTCTGAAGGACAGCTAACTGATTCAATAAAATTCTTTTAGTGATGGAATAATTTGTTTGCAATCAGAAATTATGTGAGTCTTAAAATTTGACTTGCATTAATTTTTCCTTATGACTGATGAAGAACAGTCCGTCGCTTATATAAGAAGATATGTTTGAAATTTTTTTCAGGCACTAAAATGTCCAACATTAAGAGATATACAAGTTTAGGAATGATTTACTTTAATAGGTTATCATGAAAGCAACTTCGATGATAAAGTAAAGATTTTACATTATGAAGTGAAAGAAAAAACAGTGCTGCTAGTCGCTGAAAAATTACTATTTACGCGTCAATGAACACGCATCTTATGCATGGTTTAAAAATGAGAAAATGAAAAATTACTAATAGTTTATTCCTTTGTAAAATAGAAAAATGTGTAAAAAAACAGCTTACCCTGTCTGAGTTTAATGTTGCAAGAAAATTCGGTACAAACACAATATATGCGTCTCTAAATATGTCGATAATAATGTTTCAAAAAATTCTGATGCGATAAATTTAATGAGCACTCAGATCTACATATGTATCACTCAACTGAAACAAATAAATTTTCCTCTTTTAAATCTAACGCAATCAAAAATATGAAAACGAACGTTGGATTTATATTTGGATTAATCTCTGCAAGTTTAAAAATACGAAAAACATGCGAAAATAGATGCTTATTAGATTAAAAAAACGATCTTCCCGGAAGGAACGATAGATCAAATATAAACCAGGTAGCAAGAAATGGGTTTGAAAGAATCTATTGTAATCACGTTTTTGAACTATTAAACCGAAACTGGCTCTGGCATTTTGGGAGCAACAAAGAAAGATCGCCAGTGACTACTACAAAGGAAGGAAGAATTTCAATTCAATTTCTCACGAAGTATGAACTCTGAAACCAATGAAATTGTGCTTCAGCTACTACTTGTACATCTGCAATGCAGCTGAATGAGATTGTATGAGAATTTCAAGTGCAATAAATTTATTGCTTGGTGGAGTGCAAAGACTCTAGGCAACTGGGAGGAATATAAGAATTCTAAACTATCAGGGAAATGGGACTATTTGTTGCTGCCGTTTCGCTGTCATGCCATTTCGCCTTCGAGATATTTCGCGTGGGAGCGATTCGCCGACAAGACAGTTTTGCTTTAAATGCTTATCTTATATTTTGCCATATCATATTAAGTTTATTTAGTTTAATAATTTTGTTTGCCTATTTTATAGTCGAGACATATTTTTCTTTTCATGCCTATATTCTATCTTGGTATATTATATTATTGAGCTTATTTAGTTTAATAATTTTGTTTGCCTATTTTATAGTCGAGACTTATTTTTCTTTTCATGCCTATATTCTATCTTGGTATATTATATTATTGAGCTTATTTAGTTTAATAATTTTGTTTGCCTATTTTATAGTCGAGACTTATTTTTCTTTTCATGCCTATATTCTATCTTGGTATATTATATTATTGAGCTTATTTAGTTTAATAATTTTGTTTAGCTATTGTATACATCTGGCTGTTTTAAATTTTAAAAGGTAAAAACTTTTGCACTTAAACACATCTTCTAGAATTACTAAAATGTTTTCTAGAGTTGATAATTTTTTCCCAAGTAAAGATTTTATATGGAAGAGTTTTTATTAGTGTCGTAATTAGATGTACTGTATATATATATATATATAATAGGGTACAGTAAAAACATTAGGTCATTAAAGTTTAAAAGACGATGGTCAAAAACCTTTTGGATAAAACATAAAATGTTTTTCTACACAAATTTATACATTAGTATGAGTATATCATTATGCATGACATAAAAGTTAACTTATTACTCTATCTCTATATATATTTATTAATTTTAAGACGGTAATGTGCTAAAAAGATTTAAAAGTAATTCCATTTTCGATTAAGTTTTCATAAAAATGTGAATTTCCTGCTTGCATGAGTGATTTCTTTGAAGTAGCTGATTAAAATTTCAAAACATTTCGACAAATCGTGTAAACATTTACTCTGCATAATTTTAGAAACGATAATATAACTTCTGTTTTAGCAGAGGTTTAGCCCAAAATAATGAAATGTTATAATTTTGTTCTATTTGATACTGACATAACTTTCTAACTATGTGTAATTTTTTATATCCCACATCTCTAAACAATTATACTGTATATTATAAGCAACCTTTATAACGTATTTCCTTTCTACTCGTACGTAAAATGGCCCACGGCGAATCAGCTACCGGTGGACTGTCCTGTCAACGGCGGCGGCCAAACGGCTGCGGCGAAAAGTCCTAGAAACAACTATCAACGTACCTAATACAACGCGCCTACTGATTTTTTGATAAATTACCGTTTAAGTGGATTACTTAATTAACTAAAAAGGGTTTCTTAAAAACGGAAAAGATTTTTCATCTTTTTTACTGTTATTATAACTATGCCTGGCATCTATATCTTTGTGAATGAAGGTCATCGATTTTTATATGGACTTGAAATAAATTAACCAACTATTGCCAGTGGATTACTTAGTTAATTAACAAGATTCTCCTAAAAACTGAAAAGGTTTCGCTTCTTTTTTACCATTATTATAGACATATCTAGGATCTGTACTATTGTTAAAGAAGGCTATCCATTTTTACAATAACATAGAACAAATGCTTTGTCATGAATGCTTGTCATTAAATATTGTCATGAAGAAGGACAATTTTTATAATGTTCCACTTCCCATAATTCCGAGTCAATTGTAGAAGCTATTGATTCTGAGCCTCCGTAGAGACTATATTACGTTTTACTCAAAATTCGAACCCATAAATGTTAAATACGATGGGAACGATGTAGTAAAAATCTTGACTCTTCATTTCTATATTAGAAAAGTGCGTTCTTATTATTTCTGATATGCGAACTCCATTATTTTATCACCTTATAGCTAGGGTGAGTAAACTATTATCCATTAAGATATGCTGTTGTTTTTACTATTATTATATTAAAATGTTCCCAATAGTGTTTAACATTAACAGTGATGTATTTAATTTTTAACATAAATTTATTAAAAGTGAAATGCATATAATTTCGTACTCAAGTAAAAGCAATAAGGGGAATTTTTTAGAGCCAGTACTTTAACCCATTTAATAATTAATAACGGACAATCCTTTAAGACCATAAGTGACCTCCATAACTCTCCATAACAGAAGCAAAAATGTTTAGCTTTTCTAAACTTCATCATTTAGAAAAACAAATAGCATTAGATGAGCCACAAATAAGGAAAAAATGAATGAGTTTTGTAATTCGAATAGAAGAGTTTTAGAATAGTGAAAGAACCAGAGCTTAAATCTTGGAACCGCAGACATCGCTCAACAAAAAAAGAACTCAAATACATACGCAGACACAAGATGATTCTTGTTTCTTGTGTCTAAAATCCTGTTTCTATTTCCTAAATCAAAGCTGAAATTAAAATTCCAAATCTAAATATTGAGATTTAGTGATGGGAAGAAATTGCTGCCTTTCTTTAGGTTAGCGTATTCTTAAAAGTACAGTGGTTCAGTCATATGTTTGATATTTTTATTAGTTAAAGAGATGCAACTTATGCAGATGAGCTAAATAATTATTAATTTTTGATATTTCTTCATTCTGCACATTTACTAATTAAGGAGATGGTAACTTATGAAGATGAGAAAATTAAATTATTAATCTCTTGATATTTCTTTCCTCCTCATGATCCATCCTGAAGCTGACTGTCCAGCAATAATATGAATGCAGGAAGAATTTTTTTTGTGTTAAATGTTGACGACTTCAACAGTTAAGATGAAATCAGTAAAACGAGATCAGTGCATAATAAACTACAACAAACGAAGCAGCAGCTACCACAGTTCAAGCTGCTTTGGTGAAGAATCCTCAACTATCGTAGGCGTCGAATAATCTCGGAAAAGGTTGTCAGCCAAAGTTCGATAAAACATATCGAACACACGAACAAATTCCACCGGTATTATGTTCAGTTTATTCAAAAGGCAAGCTAAGTAGGCCACAATAGGTGTCACCAGGAATTTAAAATGAATCTTATGATGTCCTGAAAGATTCCGTATAGTGCTTGAGCATTCTGTTTAAGGAATTTTCCTTTAATGAATAGAATCCATACGCCAACCTCATAAGACGTCTCCTAAAGAGAAAAGATACTAAATAAAAATAACTCCGAAAATGTGTTTTTAAGAGCATTTTAACTTGAATTCATCTATCTGATAATTTCTTTCTTAATTAAAAATTTTGAGTAAGATTTAAGATACTAGATAGCCTTCAAGTTGGCAGCCATGATGCTAGTATATCCCAATAGGATTGTTGATCCGTACCTTATACTTAGATTTGATGTAGACGCTAGGATACGATTCTGTATTTCAAAGAATAGAAAAAAGTTTACAAATCTTTTTTTTTATATTTTGTATATACGAATACTTCAAATATAACAGACAATACTACATTTTTGAGTGCTTTTGCGAGAGCAAAGAAAACTTGCATGTGTAAGCCGATTTCAGTATTCTATACAAAATGAATAATTAAATCACCGAAATGCCTGATTTTGAGGTACACATAATTAGTACGTGTTTTAGGCTATAAAATAAAACTAATATAATTCAAATAGTAGTTTACACACATTCATATTTGGATTAAATATGTTATATCTCTTTTCGGAAATTATATTTAAAACAAACTTTGTTTTCTCAAAAGAATAATTATTTTCAACTATCCTTTTAATTCTTTACATCGCATTTCATTTCGAAATTGCTCTAAAAATGAAAAGGCACATGATTATTCCATATGTAAAATGTTCCAGAAAATATAAAAATTCATCTTCCGGCCCATTTTACCTTTAAACACATTACATGAATTTTCACGCTGAGCTTAAACAAAAATAATAAAACTTATTACATCAAGGCAAACTCCGATGAAACTTTCCATCTGTCCACGTCACAAGCACGTTGAGAGGGTCAATACTTGGGCGTTGCCTTCTAGTTTCAATTTCAACCTGAACACGCACGAGTCCCCACCCAATTACATCGAAACTGAAGATTCTTATTTTAGATGTCAGTGAGTGACATTTTGACCCAAAAATCAATAAGTAATTTAGGTTATCGGTATAAGAGCCCTTCCACTTCTACAATGGTCTGGACCAAATGCTTAAGCCGGCCATGATTCCATGATCGATTATGGAAAGAGTTAACAGATGTTTCGTTGTGCATTAGTTGCTAAATGTTATTAAACTTCTATTTTCCCGCTGGCAGTAACCTAATGAAAAAATTAATTACAGGAAAATGAATCGTGTAAATATGTTTCGGAAAGGCAGAACCATTACATAATATTTTAGGTAGTTGATAAACTTCTGGAGATAAAAGAAAAGAAAAATCTAAGAAATCCCCAAATCTCCATTCACTTGAAGGAAATAATTTAGATACCAAGCTATTTTTTTTCTTTGAAAGATTGTTTATCCAACGTGTTTAAAAGTAAACTCCTTCAGTTTTAACGCATGTTTTAAAACTTTCTTCCTCTATTCGGATTAAGATTAAATCAAGATTATGAATTTCATTGAAACTTCGAAAGCCATATGCTTCGATTTGCATTCTGTTCTCTTGATCTGATCATAATCCATATTTTACCTTTTCCATACGCCTGCTAGGACTGCTAAAGCTGCTAGGACTAAGATTATCTCTTTAAGTAGCCCTAAAATTTGGAGTATATCCTGATACACGGATGCCAGCACCATATTGTTTTTTCACATGCTCTGGAGACAACGCATTCCTGTACTTGCCTTTCATTATTTTAAGTTGTGAAGAAGCCTGCAGACGGAGATATATCTTGAATTTTGAGCTAGGTAACAGAAGATTTTCAACATGCTTGGATCATACTTCAGAAAAATTGTCGCATATAGATTGAAGGTAAATGACGGTAAACGTTGATAGCCTTTCCCCAAAGAGTTACTCTTCCACAAATCGATTTTAGCCAGTAAAGAAGAATTCAGCTCATGATTTCGAATACGTACTTTCCCTTTCCTTATAATATATTGTAGTAGTATTCAGGTAGATGTTAAGTCAGCAAGCCACTCACAAGACTGTTTCAAGACTGACCCACAAGTTTGGTCAAACTGTCTTTCGATTTCGATATAAGAAAAGCTTTCATCTCCAATAGCATTCCAACAAACTTTGTTAAAACGTTTCTCGACTCAACCACCTTAATTCTTCATAGTAAATTATATCATCATACTCACCATCTAGCTCATCAAGTAAAGCTTCAAAAAGTCGATAATTCTAACCTCGTCCTTGGATAAAATATTATATGATAGTATTCTTCAGTAAAATTGTTTTAAACTGCGTTGTATATGTCTTGCCTCGAGTGTGTTTTGCCAATAACAGCATAGCCAATAGTCAACATAGCCAATAATATTTCTTTTACGAAGAAGTCAGTAAACAACCTTCTCATGAACATCAGAAGTTGCAGTGAGGCAAAATATCAGTGGATTCATTAAACTGCAGGGTCATACGCATATTTTTCCAAATCAGATCTCATCTGTAAATACATGTCGTTCGCCATATCGTCCACTCGTTGTGCCACCGTATTTCGTGATAAAAACACATCTTTTATAGCTGAGATCATTTCATAGTTTCGCACTATTCATGAAATAAAGACTAACATTATTAACCTCCTTCACCACAGCCACGTCTGAATATGCCTTCTTTTGGATGCAAGAATATAACTTACTTTGAAGGATGCTTTTATGTGATTCTTTGCTTCATTATTTCGAGTACAAAGACTGATTTGTTGATCTTTTAGAGGAGATTTCAGTGACTGAAATTCATGCCTACATACTGAGTGGATATTTAGCATCGAACTCCTTACGAACGGTTTTATGATAACGCTCAACATTCGGTCACTTTGGTACCGCTACTAAAGCACTGCATAATAAACAAATTGCTCTTTCGCTAACATTTGCAAATAACAGCTACAAGGTATTTCCTCCCTCCTTTCTGCATGCCTTCGTGGTGTAACGGTAGCACACTCGGCGCGTATTCGAGAAGTCCAGGTTCGAGTCGCGGCAACGGTATTGCTCATTTTTTATGTTATCTTCCTTCAAAATAAGTTAATGACTTCTCTTCCTCTCATTTGTTATTGAAGAGGTAAGAAAAAAAGGTTTCTTTGTCTTCGATGGCTCTGACACTTCACTCAGCTCAACAAGCTCACCACAAAAGCAATTAAAGTGTTATTTTAAAACTCACCAGAAACAGCGTAGTTTGGTAACGTTACTGCGAATTTTTATTAACTTATTTCAATTGAACTGATGACTGATGACCATCGAATGCATAGCCGGCTGGAGGATTCATCGTTTGTGCAGACGTGCTGCGGTGCCAGCAGAAGACAGGTTTTGTGTTAAAGCATAGACTCTAATCCTAATCCACCTTGCAGATAAAACCGCGGTAGAGTGAAAGTGATAACACGCGAGTAGGTGAACATAAATGCATTGCTCCTGTACGTAACGTGTAATTGTACCCTTTTCATGGTTGTTTTGTACTTTAGGATTAGAGTAAAAGTTTTGTCTCATGACGATATTGTAACTGTAGTTGGTGAGCGTTTAAACATTAACTGTAGCTGGCGGCTGGAGGATTGCGGGCTAACAGGCGCCCGCAAGTCACCGGTTGGACACCACTGACGTAACCTAACACATCGTAAACTGCAAGGAAAATATGACGTTTTAATATAATAATATAAGCAGCATATGTCTCATACTATAGGACACACGAGAAATCTTATAGTATGGGACATACGCTACTCATATAAAGGACGTGTGCCCTATAGTATGGACATACGCTGCTAATATAAAGGACGTGTGTCCTTATGAGAGACATATGCTGCTAATATAGTAATTAAAAACTTCACATGAAGGATAAAGGATCCCATATTAGAGAATAAATTATTTGAAGGTTTAAAAATATGACATTAAATTGAGTATTGTTGAATTTTATGAAAAGGTGTCTAGAAGTGACAGATATAAATTAATAATGAAATGTTTAATACCTTTATTCAGCAGTAAATTTTGTGTATGCTTACTATTAATTTTTTAGTTTGAACTTACGTAAATTATTCAATTCTTTTTAAAAGTAGCTTAGAATAAATAGTTAAAAAACTTGTTGTTATGGAACTAGCAGCTAAATGGAAGTTACTGCAATATTTTTCGTAAGCTGACGAAAGAAACCTAGATACTTTTTTGTGTGCTATTTGTGATCATCTATTATTTACAGTTTCTGGAGTGTCTGATAATGCAAAGCAGTGTCATCTCTCAAACGCAATCAGAAATTTACTAGCGTTATGTGTTTTTTAATTACATTATATTGAATTAAAGGTTATGAATCGAACTAAAGCTTATACTGTACAATTTTTTTTTTACTTTTCGATAAGGTATAATATTTTAGTACTACTAATAAAGTATAATAGTTTTGAATCGCATAGAAGATTGATGTATTAACGGATAAACCAGTTTGTATGTTAAACTCTAAATTAATAAAAGCTTCTGTTTATTATAAAATAATTTGAAGCCATTCAAACGTTTTTGGGAAAATAAGTTAAATTTAAGAATAAGGATTAAAAAAGATGCCATAGATGGACCATTAGCAAAAATGTAATAAATACTGAAAAATGTAAAATAAACACCTTTTAAAAATTTATATTAATTAAACAAATCTTTTAAAAATGTATGTTTAACGCTTTAACTTTTAATATTTATCTTATTTACATGGTGCTCCGGGTTTGAAGCTCTTTAGTGGGATCATCTGCACAGAATTTGAGAAATTAGAATATGAATTCTATACTATACACAGCTATCTGATATTTATATCTAATTATTATTCTTATTTTTTATCCTTTGAAAGTAGTACATTAATTCACTATAGAACAAAATGAAGAAATCTCTGCTTTTACTATCCCCGAGTCTAGAAAAGCCCTTTATAACTGATTTTCCATATTTATAAGCTTAAAATTAATATCAACGCTATTGCTGAAAAGCAGCAGTTCCATTATAACGGAGCTGAGAAAGAAAGTTATCTGTTGAATAAAATTATATGTAAAACTGATATATCAGTACATAAGCAATTACGAGAAAGTACAGCAAAATAAAAAGTGCCCATTACCCTGAATGACAAGATCTTAGAAAAGGCATATAGAAAATGGTAAATTATGTAAGCATAAACTATTGTTCAATCTCCTTACCTGAGTATGAATTTTGTTTCTAGTAACAACACAATATACGTAAAAATTTTTGCCAAATAAATTGATATGTATTTCGGCTCGAAGGAGTGCGCGGGCTTGGCCCAGATGTTGCATATGAATCCTGAAAGGACAAAAGTATCTCTCAAACAATTTTCAGGAATTTGATAAAGGATAATCAAAGCTTTTCATTTTAACCTGGTTCACTAATATATAGAGAATAAAGCTCAAGGATGAGCTTATACTTTTGCTATGTGATTAATGATTTCTGTGTGTTAGTTTTAAAATTACGGTACAAAAGATTGATTGAAAAGTCTTATTATGTATATAAAAACCTAATTAACCGAATAAAGCGTTATCTAAAGTTTCAGATGTCGTCTAGCTCTTCCAATACTATTTTTGTAGTAAAAAGTTCAAAATATTAAAAAAATATGTTAGAAAAGTAGATAAAAAATTTAACAAAAGTTTGCAATCAGACATCTGTACTCAGATTCGAGGTTAACATCTGAAACAATTTTTATGGCAAACAATTATCCTCGGAAGTTCGAGATAAAGAAAGCTGAATCATATATTTGCAACGGGTGTTCAAATTACCAGTACTAAACTGAAGTGTGTATGGGGAGGGGATCTCGCTGTAATATTATTTAATTATAAATTAATGCTGTGTGAAATATTTATATAAATTTCTTGCAATTGCTTGCGCATAAGGCTTGCAACAAATCTATCTCGCAAATGAAGTGAAAACGATTTGTTTTTCTCCAGGACTTAACACTTATGTATTAGAAAAGTAACACTTTATTAAATCTGTTAAAAACAGCAAGAAAAATAACACACTATATGCGTAAAACACAAGATTAATACAGTCTGTTCATTCTATGTTAGTCAAAGCCTTCGTTGTAAGCTCAGGTTATTATTCATAACAGACTAGAATAACTAATACAGTGTTGTATGAAATAAAAGACTGGAAGATAATGTAGTATTGATTCAGAATAAGTAACAACCAGAGAAATTTTTTAAAAGGAATATATATAGATGTTTTTGATATAAAGCAAAGTATCTTAAATTCAGTTATGAATGTAGTGTGTTTTGAGTGTTGATTAATTGACTTATATTCCGGTCAAACGCATACGTGTAATACGTTGCACTTATTATAACCCGCAAAACCTTGGTTACATCAAACTCAATAACATTTTCTTACCCAAATTTTCTAATTTACATTGAAATATCGCATCGCATAAGCAGTGGTCCTTCACTATTATTAGTAAGCTTACATGAACAAAAAATTGAAGGTATTTTACTTGCCGAAATTTAGATGCTGAAGTAATTGAAGAACACTGCGATAAAGAAGCCAGAACTAGTTTACAACAAAGAGCTATAAAAGACATTTTTCAAGAAAGTTAGAAACATTAAAGTGTGTTATAAAATAATTGGTTTTTGCTACTTTTTGACTTTCTTATTAACATGTAGCTAAGAAAATGCAGATTCTTTTCTTATAACTATTGTGATCTGACCAGCATACGCTAATATGTATATTACAGCACATTATTATTTATTGTAAAGCTGTTGTACATATTAGTTTTGTAAATGAGACAGCTAACATGCCCAATAAGTTTAAAAACAAAAGAAAATAACAATACCTAAGAACATTTCCTACATTATTTTTTAGAAAAAAAGATATGCATAAATTTTAAATGTACTTATTTTACTCTCAGAAAGTACTTATTTTTTTGTTCTTAAAATACTTCAAAAATTTAAGAACGAAAAATACACAACTTGTGAAAGGAAAAATGTGTATAATAATTTTATGAATAAAACGGTGTATGAGAGATAGTTACGAATACGCATTAAGGCGCATAAAATTGAGTGCAAAAGTTTAATGTACAGATTGTGGTTGTTGTATTTGCATTTTATGTATTATACGACTACATAAATAACTATTAAGTATTTATATATATATGCAAATAAGTAACACATATATTATTCCTCATATTTTACGTTTATAATATTAAGGTATTACACTGAATGTTTCTATGCAAAGTGTTTTGAAATAATAAATTGTTCAGTAGCTTTTCTTGTACTTAAACTCGGAGCCTTATGAATCGTCAGCTGTTCTTCCTTTGGTATGAAAAAGAAACTTATCGCTTATATCTATATAAAAGATTCAATTCATAAGTTTCTTTTGATTTTAATGTTTCGTTTCATTCATATTCGCATTTATACAAGAGCATTGGCCGATGTTATTTTAAAAAATATGCATTCTGCTCATTCAGCTAGTGATAAAATATTCTAGAGCGTGATTGAAAAAGTGTGAAAAGATTTTTACATTTTGTAAGCCATTGCAAGAATCGGAATTAAACGTTAAGTATGGTGATGGGTAAAAGCGCTATCTGTTGGTGGGGGGAGTGGTATGAGCACCATGACCGCCATATTAAAATTGGCGATCTTAAATCTTAAGTGAGAAAACAAGCATGTTTACATGAATTTAAGCTATAATTTTCTTAAAAGCACATTGCTGCAGTTAGATTTTTATATACTTATTTTAAAGGCATAATAACTTATGAAGCTGATATAACAGGTTATTAATGATTTGTTTATTTGTTCATAGCCAGATAAACACTCATACCTTATGGCCCAGGAACAAAAAAAAAAAAAAAAAAAAAGCCTTGTAAGAAGTTCTCGCATTATTGCTTATGAATTTATTAACTTTCAGCTTAACAAAATTCTTATTGCTCACGGAATTTCAGATACGTTATTAAAAGATAATCAGTGAAACGAAATTAGAGCATGAATATAACCCCAGTGAACATCAATAAAATGCAAAACGAGACAACAGCCATTGGCCATTGCAATTGTGGAAGCTTTCACGAAAATTCATCCAAGTTATTTGCATTAGGTATCCTTGAAAATGGGTATCAAAGTCAACTGATTTTTCTATATAACCAAATGGCATCTAAACTAATGTTTGTGAAAAATGCAACACCCTGAAGGAATTATCGTAAATGAATGAAATTTATTCTCCATATTTTACTGATAGTGGTACAAATAAACGATCAAATTTACAAGAAAGAAAACCCGAACGTTGGAAATCAGTATTTTGTATGTCCGCCACGTTGAGGGACGAGAGCCTGTACATGTCATGGCATTGAATCATACAGGTTCTGAACGTAATCCTGGGGAATGGCGTTCCGTATGGCTTTGATTTGATGTCAAAGGTCAGTCTTAGTGTTTCTCCTACCAGCTGTACGAGAGAGTTGCCGATCGATGAAATACCAGACATGCTCAGTGGGCAATATATTCGTGGAATAAGCAGGCCATTGAAGAAGTGAAACCCTTTTTAACCTAAAGAAAGCTTGTGTAGTCTGAGGAACACGTGCGCGGACATTATCCTGCTGAAATACAGTGAACGGAATGCGTCAAAGAAGGGAGTGGACCTGTGGAAGTAGCGATCACTGCTGAGATTACCGCAGTCTGCACTAGATGAGATCGGCAATTATACCCAATAGCCCCCTACACCATGATGCCAGGCGTTTGTGCGGTATGACGCTGGATAACATACTGTGGGGCAGACGTTTCCCTCTCTAATGTCTACCGTGTACTCACTGTACTCCAAATTGAAGCGAAAGTCATCGGAGGAAACAACTTTTTGTCACAGAGCACGCCACGCACTGCGTTGTCGTGCCCATGGAAGTCGGAGGCCTCTGTGATTCAGCGACAGTAGAATCCTTGCACGCAATTCATCCTGCAAGAGACGTCGAAGAACGTAGAGCTAGACAACACAACACCTATAGCCGTTCTCCAACGTTGTGCTAACACACAAGACGACGCTATACGATCCGTCATAGTCATCCGGATGAGGTGTCCGTCGTTCGGTGCCATTGTGCTACTGCATGCCTCATTGTCAGGATTTCGCCTTATTTGGTTCTCCAACCACGCATCGCTGTTGTGGCATTACGCTGCGTGTGGGCTGAGATTGCTCAATTCGAAAGACAACTCTCTCGCATACGAACGATGCGGTATCGTCGAACTCCGTTAATTGTTGGCATTGCACCCTCCGCTGTTGACGAGGCATATTGAACACTAATTGAACGTTAACTGCAGATAGAGGACGATAAACAGATTTCAACGTAACTTTGCCATCCTCTACATGTAACAAGCGGCCGGTTCTTATTCCACGCATGCTCAATTGCTTTGTAATTATAATCGTTTGCATGTCTTACCTCACTTTATATTTCCTGTAAATCCTAACTGATTAATTCATGTATCACACTAATTGTAATTCATGTATCACATCACTAACTAATTCATGTATCACATACCTCTTTTCCTTTTTGAAAATTTCTGTTTTTAAAACTTTTAGATGGATACCATGAGCACTTTCTACCAGGTATTCTTTGATGACGTTTAATTTCAATTCCTGCAAAGATTTAAGACACAGAAAAGTAGCTTCAAACTTTTGAATCCTTTTATAATTACTATTGTCTCATTAGCGTAACTGGAGGCAACTCATATTACAACCAAAGCGGTTCATTATCTAGATAAAAGGCCACTGTGGTTAATGAATTAATCGAACTACAATTATAATCTACTAACTTTTTTTATGTAAGTCATTTAAAATTTGTTTAGTCTAAAAGCTCATTATTTTTAGTGCATCGTTAAAGCTGCTAATTAGCGAATAGATCTCAAAGCTGAAGACACAAGTTTTTTTAACACATTTGTAAAATACTATGTAGGTCGATTTTTCAAACACGGAAAGAATGAAGTTTATATGCGAAGAGATTCTTTTTCAAGGATAAACACTTAGATTCAAGGATATATTTACACGATAAAAAGTAGATAAAACGCAAACTGCTGAAAAAATATTGTAAGCGTTTCTTTTAGGGGAACATGTATGTCTTTTATTAAGTTATGATAAAAACTAGTATTCTTAAGGCTTATTAAGCTGTTTCACAAAATCTGAATGACACTAATAAAGGCTCATCTCTAGAACTCGCCAGTAATACCTCAGGGATTTACCGAAAAGTACGCTTCATTAGGCAATGCTATTTTTTCAGTTATGTTAGTTGAGGTTTGAGACCATAACAAAAATATTCTTATGCATCATTCCTTAATTTGTCATTTAGCAAT